GGCCTTTCTGTTCAGATTCTTCTTGGACTCTGGGTGGCATTCCTTCTTCCCTGGTATGGGGCAGGACCCCTCTGGAAAAAAGGATCTTTTGACCTATTGTCAGAAAAGTTCAGAGAATTTCTTTAAGATCAGCTCAGAGACACAAAGGCAGAGGAAGATTAGAGGAATATAGGAATATTTGTTAGATTTTATTACTTGTTTTTTTTGTGGGGAAGAGATTCTAGTTTCTATAACTTGCCTTGAGGAGGGGACATTCTAGTTTCTTTAATGTGTCTGGGGGGCGGGGAAGGAAACAGGAGGACAAAGTAAGGTCACAGAGGGTTTGCTTTGGAGGCTGCTGCTGGGGCCTTTACCTTTGAGGTATTGTTTTCTGGGCCTCAGCAATAAATAGTTAACATTTATGAAACACATCATATGTGGCAGGTACTGTCCTGATCCCTTTCCATGTATTATTTAATTCTCACAATAATCTCATGAATTAAGTGGTATTATTGTCCCCTTTGAAAAATATGAGGAAACAGCAACAAAAGAAAAAATACATAAATAGGACTTCATCAAGATTTAAAATTTGATCATCAAAGGGCACTGTCAAGAGAGTGAAAAGAGGACTAGGGTTGTAGTTCAGTGGTAGAGCACTTGCCTAGTACATGTGAGGCACTGGGTTCAATCTTCAGCACCAGATTAAAGAAAAATAAATGAATATAATAAAGGTATTGTGTCCATCTTTAAAAAAAAGAGTGAAAAGACAAACCATAGAAGGGAAGCAAATATTTGTAAATCATAAATCTCTGATAAGCGGTTACAGTCTGGAATACACTAAGAACTGCAACTCAACAACAGAACAAATCACTCTGTTCAAACTTGGGCAAAAGCCTTGAGCAGACATTTCTCCAAAGAAGACACACAAATGGCCTCCTCGTTCTTGGTCTTGTAGCAGCATTTGACATGTTAATCGCTCCATCCTGTATGAAATACTTTGTTCATTCATCTTCCTGGACACCACTTCTGTCACTACCTGCTCCTTTTTAGACCTCTTTGAAAGTTCCTTTTTATGTCCTGATGTCTAAATTGTAGAGGTCCAAGGTTTTGCCTCAGTCCTTTGGTCATGACATTACACACCACCCAAAATGCTGACATTACCCGGTCTAGATCTTCCTTCTGCATTTCAACTTACATATTAGACACTCTATTCAACATTCCCAACTGTGGATGAGTAGGTATTTCATACTTAGCCCATGCAAAACCAGTTCCTGACTTCAACCCCAGCCTCGCTCGTTGCACCATCTCAGAAAATGACAGACCTAGTCTTCAGATGTGTAGGCCAAAACCCTGAGAATCCTCATTTTCCTTTCCATACATCAGCATATCTTATTGGTTCTACCTTCTACATCCAGAATTTGATGGCTCCTCACTCCCTCACCCCTCACATAGACGACTACAATAGCCAAAAGGTCTGCCTTTTCCCCATCCCTGTTAGGCTTCCATACAGAAATAAGAACACTTTTAAAAACCTGTATCACATCATGTTACCCCACTGCTTAAGACCCTCCAATGGTTTTCCATCTCATTCAAGTAAAAGCCATGTTCATTACACACCCCCGACACCCAGCCAACCCTTTCTTTTTGCTGGGCTTCAACCATTTGCCTATGGTGGTTCTGCCTCAAGGCCCTTCGTTAACTACTTCTGCAGTGCTTTTCTCTCTGGTTTTATGGGACTGGTTCCCTCACTCCTTTCATATCTGACTGCTCTGTATAAAAAACTAATTCTTCATCCCCACTCCCATGTTTCCCATCTGGCTTTATTATTATTTTTTTTAAAGGGAGAGAGAGAAAGAGAGAGAGAGAGATTTTTTAAATATTTATTTTTTAGTTTTCGGCGGACACAACATCTTTGTTTGAATGTGGTGCTGAGGATGGAACCCAGGCCGCACGCATGCCAGGCAAGCGGGCTACCGCTTGAGCCACATCCCCAGCCCCCATCTGGCTTTATTTTTTGCATAGCATGTATAGCACTTCACTCTCAGTATGTATGTTTATTGTCTAACTCTCCCTTCTAGTATTCAATGAGGATGAGAAATTGTTCCCTGCTCTGTCCTCAGCAGAGACACAAAGAACAGTGCCCAAGCATGTAGCACACAAATTCTAAATGATCATTAAGGCTTCTGATTAAAAAAAAATGTGCACAAGTTACAGTTTTAAAATTAATATAAACTTTTGTGGTAAATACATTTTATAAAACACGAGTTTCATAGTGAAAGTAGTATAATGGGGTTCTTGGTCATTCTGGATTGTATCATTCCAGAGGTTTTGTTTTGTTTTTGGTGCTGGGATTGAACACAGGGCCTCAGGCATGCTAAGCACATGCTTTACCACTGAGCTACGATGTCCCCAATCCTTATTCTAGGTTTTGAAGGTCAACTGAAATTTAAACTCAACACACTGTCATTAAGAAATAATGTGGAATTTGGGTACTGAGTCTGGTATACTTTATGTTATAGAAACTTGAGGTTTTTTTTTTTTTTTCCAGGCTAGTATTTCTATATTATGAAGTTATTCCTGCAAGAACTGAATAAATGCTACAGCCTGCCTCTTTTGTCACTAGGTGCCAGGTTAACCTTAGGAGGCAATAACTTGAATAAACACAGAATGGAAAGCTTTCTTCTGATTCACACAAATATAAGCCTGGAATACAAATAAAACTTTTTCAACCTAGCAATTTAAAAATTTTCTACTTTCAAGTTGAGCATTTCACATTCATTGTTTGGGGAAAACTGGCTAAAAGTCACCCTTATGTCACTGTTTAGAAATAGTTACTCTTAGAGCTGGTGCACACCTCTAGTCCCAGCTACTCTGGAGGCTGAGGCAGGAAGGTCACAAGCTCAAGGCTAGCCTGGGCCTTGAGTAAACAGGGTTGGGGATGTAGCACAGTGGTAGAGTGTCTCTGGGTTCAATCCCAGTACTGAAGGAGGGGGGAAAAAAAGAAACAATCACTGTTAGGTCCTTCAGATCTTATAAAATATTCACATATGCACTTTGTATTATAACCCTGTCATTATCTATCATTATGTAGGTATCATAGCTTATCTTCCAAGTTCAAGCAAGTTAAAGGGCTTCATGGCTAATTGCCAGGTATGGGTGCTAAAGGGCAAAAGCAATACACAAAGTATTTCAGATCAAGCAACATAGAACTTCATTTCAGCCAGTACTTCACAGAAAGTACTGGCCACAGAAAGATTATTCTTTTGTTGCAGAAATGAAGATAAACCAATTAAAATAAATAAACCAATTCTATTCCCATGGAGAAAAACTTTTAAGAGGATATCCCCTCACAATGTAGAGATTAGGCAATCTAAGGGGGAAAGGAACAACGTGGAATCACAGGGAATGATGATGGCTCCTTCTGAATCCATACACTTCTCTTCCTAAAACTTGTGCTGGTACTTCAAGCAGTCAGTTGAAGATACCAGGTATGCTTCATTCTGAACAGTATTAAGACTGAAACTTTGTGTTGGAACTAGCTACCCTATTTTTTATTTAAAAATTTTTTCCCCTTTCCCTGCCACCTTTTCATATCCTTTCTTCCCAATCTCTAAAAGTTGAATGTTCTCAAGTTGTTCCCTGTGCCTCAACTTAAGATGCTCTCAGAATGGAAAGACAAACTTGGCTTTACACAGAAGAGTTGTTATCTCCATTAAGAAATGGAGAAACAGAATTTTAGAAATGAAATAGGCTTTTAGGGTTCTGCTCTAATTCATAAATATTATTCAATGTGTTTTTTTTTTCCTTATAGAGGTAATTACAGCTAAATATGGTTAAATAACTTTGCCTGAGTTTTAAAGAGTAGTTTTGTTCAGATTCCAAGTCTGTTGACTCTCAAATTCAGGGGCTCTGTACTGTAGTGATTAGCTGTATGATGAAATGTGTACATAGACAGATTGTCATAATGTTAGGAACAGATGCTATCTTTAGTATTGATTAGGATATGAGTTTTGCCACTTTGTGACCGAATGACTAAACTACTGAACCTTTGTCTTAAACTCAAATATATTCAGGTTTCAGGAGAATGTGTGATGACTATTATCTAAATACTCATGAACATTTCCTCAAAGAGACACATCTGAAGATCTTCCTTTGAAAAAACAGAATTACTTTTTTAAATAACCACATTTTGAAAATGTTTTATTAACATTTTACAGATGTACATTCGGGGAAAATTATTATTTGCCAACTTTATCTTCAAAGGTTACAGCACATCTGCTAAAGACCTTCAAAAGCAAATTGTGAAGACAAGGAATGATTACCATAAGGGATATTTCCTACCCAGTGACTTCCGAATCCGGTAGAGTAACTACTCACATCCTACCTCACCTCACACTTTTAATTAGAAAATCTTAGACAAGGGCCCAGTTTCAAAATTTTTCTTTATCAATATTTATTCCTTGCATCAAGTCATTTCTGGAAAGAGGAGACTTAAAAGTTCAGTTCAAGGAATTTTCTTGGCAGCATTTAGTCTACAGAGCCATTTTGGAACTCCAGGAACGTTTCTAAGGGTGTGAGTGAGCCCGAAAGGTTCAAACCAGTAACTCATCCTTTTGACCTACCTATCAAAGTATGAGCCACTTGATGTTAACTTCCTTCTTGATGTATGTGATTTCTGTCAGGGGGGCTCATATCAGTTAACAAATATAACATGCTTAGAACATGTCCAACAGGAATGGTGAAAATGGAAGTTTTAACTTGGCTCTTTCTATGCTGACAAATTATCAAGTGAGGCACTTCAGTGAACAAACCAAAGTTGGGGTAATGAATGAAAGTTTTTTTTCAGACAAAGGCCTTTTTTAAAGAAAAAATTCTAAAGATATCATAATGGAGAAAAATAAACACAGAAGGATCACATAAGCCCAAAAGTTTGAGGCCAGTCTTGGTATCAGAGTAAGTCCCTGTCTTTAAAAAATAATTTTTAAAAAATAATAAATAAAAAGTTACATACACTAAAGAGGTAAGGAGGTACAGATTTTATTTAGAGATTTTTAAAGCTTAGAAGGAACAACAATAATACAGAGATATACAAACCTACAGTTGGGTTCTTCTAAATAGCTAACCCAAAATTGATGTGATAAAATACAGACAGTGATTAATAAAGAAAATGTTATGTGTAAAAAGAAAAGATTTTGCACATCCACATTCATAGCAGCATTATTCATAATAGCCAAGAGGTGGAAGCAACCCAAGTGTCCAACACATGAATGGATCAACAAATGTGGTTAATACTTAACTATTCAGCCTTAAAAAAGAAGGAAGACCTGTCTCATGCCACAATATGGATGAACTTTGAGGACATAATGGAAAGTAGAATGGCAGCAGGGGCTGTGGGGAAAAGAAAAGGATTACTAATAGTAATCATAGAGAATTCCTATTATTTAACGGGTAAGTGTTTCAAATTTTCAAGATGAAAATGTTCTGGAGATACATATCATTACAATGTGAATACACTTAAGCTTCTGAACTGTACACTTAAAATTTTCTCGGTGGTCCTGGGGATTGTACCTAGGGTCTTGCACATGTTAAGCATTCTACCACTGAGCTACATCTCCCACTCCACTTTATAAACTTACTATATAAGCAAGCCTTAACTCCTTAAACAGTCCACACATTCCTATTTTCAGTATTTCTAACTAACCATGTTAAAAGAGAGTGCAAGGGCCCCCAAAATATATTGACAATATATTGTACTGTAAAATATAAATGTACCGTATATAAACCTAAAATGGGTTCACATTCATTTCAGGCTATGGGCAACAAACACAGTTAACTGTGCTGCCAGATGAGCACACCAATACAGAGAAACACACTGCAGAAAAGAAAACATTGAGAGAGAGGTGTAAACATCAGACTTAAAAGGAAAAATAATACCACCTATGGATGAATACAGCATAAAATTAATTCCACAGTTGACTTATTCAGATGTGCCTCCATATGACCCCAGTCCTATTTTGAAGGATAGCTTACTGACCAAATTTTGCTGTGATAAAGCTTGGAGGAACAACAGTTTCAAGTTTCTTTCACATGTGGAGTTTCTGATTAGTTTGCAGTTATTTACACATGGTCTAAAGCTATTGCAGAAGCCAGCATTAGCAGAAGTATGTTTTCATTGTGCACCATAACTTTTGGGTGTAAGGTGCTTGCATGACTCTTCAGAGATCTCACCTACTAAATTAACAACAACAACAAAAACATGTTATGTGACTATAGCAATGCCACAATTATGATATGAGGCCACAAGATGAATTTAATCTTACTAAAAATCTTCTGCAAACTACTGATGTAAAATTTGAGCCCTTAACCCATTTTTACATTATCCTAGCTTGTTTTCATTAACAATAGCAGAAACTTTCAAAGTGAGCTCTGAAAGTTAGATTCAATTATAGATTCAAGGAAAAAGGTGGTAGTCTTCTGAAACAAGATTTTAAAATCACTTAGCATTGAAACCAGAAGGCAAAGACTAAATGCCCTTCAGAAACTGTGAACAATTATTATTCAGTTAAATGAAACTCGTACAATATTGTTGAGTAGAGAGTATTTAAGAGAACAAAACCCATTCATTTTTGAGGAGGGCTTTTGGGTCAGGGATTGATTTTTTTTTTTTTTTTGGTGGCTAAGTTGCTTCAACTGAAAATAGACATTTTAATCTATTATGTGATAATAAAAATCACAAGAATAACTCTCCTCACTGGCAATTAATAGTAATTGTAGAGAATTCCTATTAAGAGAAATTACTACAGTGTCAAAGTCTGGGAAGACTATGTAGTGTTACCAAATGTTGTCCCTCTAATTTTAGAGGGATAACCAACCAACCCTTGCTAAAAGACAACATACATACAAAAAGATGTGAATCTTGGTGAACACAGGATGTCTGGTCAGCCTCAGGTTATCTTCAGTCTTCACATTCGTGATGTTCCAGGAATGATGCACGAGCTTAGGTTGGTTCTAGGATAGGCCCAGGGGCCTGGTTTGATCTGGGATCCCTGGGACCATACCTAGAACAAACCCAAACAAAACCAAACTCCTTGGGAGTGCTTTCAGCTCAGGTCGACTTCTGGGCTTTTCACCCATATGGACCTCCATGGCTGTACCAGGACATACGCCAACCTTTAAGGGATGGGAGTGACATTTCTGGAGCCTTCTATACACTGTCATATGTAACTACTGTGCCTGAGTAAGCATTATGGAAATTATAGTATGAACAGAAGGTAAAGATTAGTGTGATAAAAGTGCAAAAAATACTATGATTTAGAAATGGAGTTAATTTCCTTAAACATTTAATTGGGAAAAAAAAGTTAGGTAATTGTTTAGAATATCATAAAAGAATAAACTTGTAAGAGACATGCTTCAGTTTTAGCAAAATATGTACAATAATTTGTAGGTAGCTGACATTTAAGAAAAGATATAAAACTGAAAAAATATAACACCTCAAATAGTGAAACTGACCCCTTAAGAAATTCTTAAGATATAAATAAGGGGAGGAATTCTATAACCATATCTCAGACTATACTCATTTTTAAAGATAGTATAGCCAGAAGTATAAATACTGTTCTATTGCAATAACATGTTGCTAAACAATTTCAGTACATAGGGATAAAACTCTATTTCATTGTCAAGAGTAGATCAAAATTCACAGCATTTTAAAGATATGTTCACTTTACTTTGTTACACATTTTAAGATATACATAAAATCAATTCCTCCTGATTGATGCTAAAGTTTTGCATGTCTGAGTTCTAGAACTGATTTGTCTTCTTTTTGTTTTATAGCAATTACACTGTGTAGAATCACTTTCCTCTCATATCTATACTCAAAGAGAAGCTTTCTTCTTATAGCACCAACTGAGGTTTGGCATCATGACTATCTCTTCGGCAATGGCAGTCCCAACTCCAGAAATGGGTTTAGATAATCTATTTTTTTTTTACCTTTATTCCATTAATTTATTTTTATGTGGTGCTGAGGATCGAACACAGGGCCCCGCACAAGCTAGGTGAGCGCTCTACTGCTGAGCCACAATCCCAGCCCTATAGATAATCTATTTTTTATGACTGTTCTCTTATAACTCCCTTCCTGTAGCATGGATACCTGAAAGCTGACTCTAGGAAGTATGGTCATGAAATAAATAGACTGATTTACCAATCACCTTGTGTGTAATGAAAAGCATGAGTCAACATACCGTTGCTAAAACATAGTCAGTTTGTTAGTAAAAATAAATTGTTTGATGCTAAATCTACCTCTAGACAGATTTGAATTTTACTTGCAAATATTGCAACATGCAAATTTCATGTTTTTTTCCACCCAAGAGAGGAAAGTCATCCTGCTTGATTATTTTACATATTAAATGATCACTTAGGCATGCCAAATATAATAGAGTGACAGTGGGAATTTATAGTCATTCAAATATCTGTCAATACCTTTAGATTGAACACCAACAATTTTTGGTAAGCTTTTAACATACATTAACTTTAGTTAAGTAAAAATAAAGATACTGTTAAAAAAGACACAGAATTGACAGTATTTAGCAATTTATTAATATAATGGAGGGTCAATCAGGAAACCTCTCAGATTTTGTTCTAGGTACTTCTGTACATGGTGATGCCAATTTAAAATAGTTAAATTTATTTTTGATTTTTTGAGCATTTCATAATGTATTTTGAACTAGGAACATTTGTAACATAAGGGTATAATGTTTTCAAGGAGATGATTCTGACCCTGTGTGCTTTGCTATGAAATCCTTTCAGATTATGCCATGGATTCACTGTGTAATCCCAAAGGGTCATTTAAGCTTTTTGCACCTCAGTCCTACATATGTAAGAAAAAAAATATACCTCCCAGATAATTTAATAAAGCAATTCAACAGTAAAAAATAAATAAATAAATAAAGATACTGTTTGAAAAAGTAGCATATCAAAGAATAAATACTTTGTGGTATAATTGCCTAGATCTTATAAATCTTATTAATTCTCAGATCTCTATGATATGAATAATCAATGTTGGGCTGGGGTTGTAGCTCAGTGGTAGCGCACTTGCCTAGCACGTGTTACTGGGTTCGATTCTCAGCACCACATATAAATAAATAAAATAAAAGTCCATTGACAACTAAAAAAATATTTTAAAAAATAATTAATGTTTTCTTATTTTTCAGGACTTAATCTACTTTATGTCTTGGAAACAAAAATACATTTCTCTTGGGAAAAAAAAAAGCACGTGGCATCCAATTCAAAGAGAAAATACGATTGAAAATGCTAATTCAAATGACCTGGTTTTAATCAGAGCCAAAGAATTGTAGCATAGAACTATCCAAACAGAAAGTAAAGTATGCAAACGAAATGGCTCCTTTTGTAAAATAACAACTTGTATTTTGAGAGTAGGTATCTAATATGGTAACCTCACTGAACTAAGGACAGCAACCTAACAGGTGGAGAGTCACAGATGTCACAAACATCCATGCAAGGAAGCACAATCCACTTCTTCATGTCTTCACTGTAGGTCCATTTACTCTTACTTTAGTTAGTACTCAGTTCTAACTATCTTAGTCATCTGGTCCCCCAAACCCAAGCAGATCAGAAGGTGCATTACGAAGGTGAATAAAGTACATTGCTACAATCACACTTAAGCAAGCAGTAATATAAATGGAGGAATCAGAACATCCACTGAAAACAAAGACATGAAAACTGACACAAGTGCTGCAGAATGGAGTCATTTAGTACAGGACAAATAATTCTCAGTGTTTAGTCTATCCAAGTATAATAACTAATGTTCAAAATGATAATTTTAATATAAAAGCTTAAAGTGTATTTCATATATTGTTTAAGAAGACAGCAATAGTTTTTATAAAGATTGCCTTCAGATATTATTCCAAAAATTTAATGCTGAAAGAAGTTTAAGCTTAATAGAAAATTGGGATATCAAGAATGACTCATTCCCCAAATAGTCAAGTCAGCCAGTTCTTACTAAATTAGTCATGTTTAGTCTCAGACCAATAGTTCGAGAATATAAGTCTTGGTGGACAGAGCTGAAGTCATGTTAATCATGCCATAAATTTCAAATCTGTGTACTCAACTAAGAACAATTAACAAAAACAAAATATTTAACATTTTCCTGACATATACACAATGATTTATACAAATATGGTAGTCAAATTTTTCTTTTAGCATTGAATTCATTAACAGGGAATCCTAGAAACATCAATATATTAAAACAGAATTAATACTTCAAATATATGGCAATCACATATTCAACCAAGCAGTTTTAGCAAGTCCTTAGTAAGAGGCAAACAGATGAATGCTAAGAACCCAAACAGGTATCACAAAGTCCATGCACTTTACTGATAGAAGAGCCCTTAGCCTTGTTGCAGTCTACTTACTCTTATTTTAGACACAATTCTAGCAAGCTTGGCAATCTGGTTTCTCAGTCCACAGCAGATTAGAAGCAGCAAATTAGGGGCCTATTGCAGAAGGCAGGCACACAAGACAGCAGCAAAATCACAGCTGATTATAAGGGAAGATAGAGAAACTGTGAAAAACAAACAGTATTCAAAAAAGCACAGCAATGTGAAGTTAGCCAGTAAAGGGGCCCGACATCATTCCTGTCATCCCCGAGGGTGAATTTGTCAATCACCCATGATAGGAGGTGATATTCTTAAAGATGAAAAAGAAAAGGTTAAACTACATTCTATATACTTCAGAAAAATGGAGAGGTGCGATTAAATGAATTTGCCTCAAAATTTAACTGATTCAATGGGACTGGGGCTGTAGCTCAGTGGTAGAGCACTTGCCTAGCATGTTTGAGGCACTGGGTTCCATCCGTAGCACCACATAAAATAAATAAGTATTCTGTTCATCTACAACTAAAAAAATTTTTTAAAAATTAACTGATTCAAGTTAATAACCTGTCAATGATGACAGCTGAATGAATTGTTACAGTACTTAGGCATTTTCTATATTTTCTCTCCTAAATTATTTGCAGTTTAGTTTTCTAATCTAAGTTATGAACTACACAGATATGTTCCTATAAATGGAACTGGAAAAATAAATCTTTATACCCTGTCATTCATAGCATACTATCTACTTAACCTCAAGCAATGGTTTAGCTATATGTATCACCATCTTATGGTATTTAGTTCTTGTATCCTGGTTTTGTTTGGGTACAGAAACAACATACTGTGATTAAACCAAATTACATAGGATTTTTGACAAAGGATTTCTAATCATTTGGTAAAATGTAAATAGTCAACAGAGGGAAATGAAATCTAGGGTCCTATCTGATTAATACTTCATTAACCTATAACTTTTGAAATATACCAGAAGTTGATTTTTATACTTTAACATTAAAAGTGTTATAATTTTTAAAATGTGAGTCAGACTATTACTTTTTTAAGAAAACTGAGTTTAAAAATTTTTGACCTGTTTTTACTAATATATTTATAACCAATCTTGCTTTTCAGTCTCAAACATTTTATTTCCTTTTATCTTCTCCTGAAAAGAAAGTGCAAATAGCATTTAGAAATTCAGAGAATTTGAGTTCTGTTGGAAAGACTCTCCCTAACTTTATTAGGTCACAGCTTTTATATATTTAATTTTTGAATTATTTATTTATTTTATGTGGTGCTGAGGAGTGAACCCAGGGCCTTGCCCCTGGTGGGCGAACACTCTACAGCTGAGCCACAACCCCAGCCCTCACCCACAGCTTTTAAATGAAGGGTATGGAATTTAAACTCAGCCTATTCTTCTATAGGAAAGCATGAACCTATCCTCTTAAAACTTTCTTATTAATTTGCCTTAAGTGTGTTTCTCTCAATTTGCTTGTATTCAGTAACTTAAGAATTCTGATTTGAGTTAAGGTATCAGTTTCCTAATGAAATATATTCATATACTGTGAGAACCATTAGCTTTAATGAGGATGTAAGCTATAAAATCAGAAAACACAAAGAACTTATGAAAATAAGCAGAGGATTGCAAGTCATAGACCAACAAGAGTCTGGCCCTAGATGTGCCAGATAGGTAGGGCTTTAATAAAAGCTGAGAAAAAGGATTTAAGGCATGATAACTTGTACCAGACCACTTTCTGTCATGACTTTCCTATCTGTACGTGGACAAAGGATAAAAATTCTGTCTTAAAGAGTGGCCTAAATCAGCCCCTCACATGTATCCTTCCTTTGAGTTCTAGGCTTGTCTTGATAAAACAAACCATGGCGATATTTGTATTAAGAGCTGTCAGGATACTAGCACTACCACGATTTATACTGTCAAAAAATACTGTAAAATTTGCAAAGTACAGTTATAAGTGTTTTCCACAAAATGTTTTTTTCCCAGAGGCTTCTTCTGGATGTAGAATGGCAGCTATTAAAACTATCAACAACCTGATAAGAGAAAGTAGAATATTCTTAGAAAAAGTAATAAACAAGAACACCTATTTATATTACATTGGTAAACAAGAACACCTATTTATATTATATTGGCCTGTTTCTTATATTTCCTAAGGTATTCATTGGAAGAACTAAGTGACAAACAGGGATTCTTACATTTTATTGGGCATGAACATTACCTAGGTCTCGTTTCAAGCTAAGAATTACAGAGAGTATGTCCTAAAATTCTCATTAAAAAAAAAAAAAAAAGACCTCTAGTTTATTCTGAAGCAGGTATCCCACTAAAACGACAATGAGAAATATCAACTTAGAACATTTCAGGAAAAAATTCGTCAAGGAATTTTCAAGAAGATAATATTTTATCTTGAAAATATTTTATAAGATGAAAGAAAATTTGAAAAACTACTTACAAAACACCTAATATTTGGTTAATGTTCCAAGATCTTTAGATCATGATTTCAACAAGTAGAGTTTTCATGAAACTATGTAATGGCTAGTGAATAAAACAGATCAGATTGGAAGACTGGAAAATTCTGATTCAAATTATCTAATCTTTCAGAATGAAGAAGTGTCACCTCAGAGAGCACTGAATAAAACTGATACTGTTATGAAGATCTCTCTCCCAAATCAGGATAGTAGAAACAAAATAGAATAAAAGAATTAAAATTATTAAACTCTGATTTTTCCTCTGTAAGGTGATAGGTTAAAATAAAGATCACCAAGTTTTTCTATAATTGCTTTTCCTAAATCCCAGGAAAAATGGAGTTGGCAACTAAGTTTGTGATTTAAACCAGAAAGTATAGGTATTATTTATTACTTAGGAACACAGAAGTCAGTAACAACACAAGAAGATTCTTTTTTCCTTCAAATTTAGTATAACTAGGTCCAACCTAAGGTATTACTCTGAAGAGGTTTATTACGATAAGTCCCAAAATTTTGGCAAAAGGAAAAAATCACTTATGGTACAAAGGATGTCTACTAGTCATATAAAGCTAAACCAAGTTTTTCCTCAGGATTAAAAAAAAAGTTATTAAAAAAATAAACAATTCTGAGTATAAGTAAATTTACTCACTGTAAGTGCTAAGTGACATAATTTAAATGTATTTCTAGATTATCTAAAGATAATCTAGATTCATCATGTAATTTCCCTGTAGTATAACAGCGTAAGTTGAGTTATTCTTACATTTTCCCTAAATAATGTCTATAAACTATGTCAGGTACAGGAGTTACAGGTTTCAAAAACAGTATACTCCAAAAAATACCAGTCTTCAACAATGGAATCGCAACACACAAGATTGGCCACTTTGAAAAGCAGTCTCTTCTAAGAGGTAGCTTGCAAATGAAGACTAGGAAGACAAGGTTTCTTTCCAGGAAGCTGACAGGTTTCCTGAGTCTCACAGGCTCACAGGCTAGAAAATTGTAGCACTGGACCTACTTGTGGTAATGGTGCACAATTATCTTGAGGCAAACTGATAGAAAGAACATTATGCTAAGTTGGGGGTGGGGTTTTTTACTATAGGGATCCCACTTTTGACAAGGAAAGTAATAACAAAGGAAGGAAAAAGTAATAACAAAAGAAAAAAGTTGAAAGGGTTTTTCTTGACCTGGTATGTTTTCCTTTTAAAGACTATTAGGAACATCTTAAAATTAACTACTGAATATTTACACGAACAATAAGAATTATGTCATAACCCAACTATTTTTGAAACTACTTTTAAGTTCCAAACCCCAGCACACATCAATTGTATGAATTAAATTTTTTTTATTCAGAACCTGTATCTTTTTTTTAAGACTGGTATAAACAAAAATAAAATACAAACAACTCGTTATTAACATAATAGCTGCAGTTACTAACTGCAAAGATACAGTAAAAAGGAGTCATACTAAATGTTAATGTTCTTGCAAGAGAATTAACCTAGTCACCTTATGGTAGCAAATTCTGGCAAGAAATGATAAATTCATTTCTTATTAAAAGTACTTAAATAATTACCAAGATTATCAGTTGGGCCACAAATAAAGCAGCAGTTTATTTTAAAGAGCCCTTACCTTTCTCTTATTTTCCTAAAAAATCTGCCACTTACAGGTAACTATTAATCTGAGACAGTTGTTCAAACCAGGTTTCTTCCTAGAAATTCACATCTTAACTTTATAGATAGTAAACTTACACTTATCTTCCCTTTCCAGTCCTGAAGCTAAAACACTTTTGTAAAAGGAACAATCTAAAATCATTTCATTGATCTTGGTTCTTACTTTCCTCTACCTCGTTTTCATTTTCTTCTATCATTTGTTCTTCCTCCTCATCGCCAAAAGTCTGTTCCTGCATGGTGGTGAAGGAGAGAGACCTAGCAGCCACTTCTGCTGCGAGGCCAGCAGTGAAGGTAAATTCTGGTGACAGCTGGAGCCGTGCCAACCTCTGCTTGATGGAGGGCTGCAAGGAGTCCCTGGGAGTTGGAGAGACAGTGGCCAGGCCACCTCCAACGGCCTGTGGAGATTCGTCCTCACTCTCACACTGGTAGCACATTGCTTCTTCAGGCCCTTGGAGGAAGACTTCATTTGCAGAATTGTCTTTATTTTTATCCTCTCGTTGATTCTCACATAAATACTCAGTCCTACTTATTTCATTGTCATTTGTGGAGGGCTTAATACTATTTTCCTCTTCAGTATCATTTTTACTGACTTTTCCCATATCTGAATTCACTGATGGTTCTGAATTACTTATGGGTTCCACTGGGTCTACAGGAGACAAGGATTTCAACACAGCTTTAAAGGAAAAAAAAAAAAAGAGAGAAAGAAAAGGAAAGAAAAAAGAAAAATAATAACTAAGAACCCTGCAAATGATTTAAATTTTAATTTAAACTCCCAGTAACTTTTTTCTTAAAAAGAACAATAAATAAATAAAATTTATTAAAACTTTCTAGTAAAAGCAATAAAAATTTATAAGTCTAGGTAACTTTATAAGAAATAAAATGTCTAAGAAATGGAATGAGATGGAGATTTGATGAAGAGTTTTTTAAGCTATCATCTTATTCAAAAGCAGTGGTTCTCAAAGTGTGGTCCCTGAACCAACAAGGTCAGCCATCACCTAGGAATCTGTTAGAAGCAGAAATTCTTGGGCCCGATCTCAGTCTACTAAATTGGAAACTGTGGGAGTGGGGACCAGCTATTTTTTACAAGGCTCCACTTGATTCTAATGCACACTAAAATTTGAGAACCACTATTATTAAAGAATAAGCAGAGTGGTTTTCACTGAAAATGTGGTTCAATAAAAGGCCTAAAGTGACCCAGATAATAATTGCATCTTCAACATCTATATATATTTACAAGTTAAAACAGCATGGAAAAAAATATATAATTTAACTTACTTGCCAACCACCTAAGAAGACCCTAATGGAAGTAAAGTCACACTTCTACACATTTTGAAGCGCCACAGAAAAATACAAACAAAATGAAATTTGCATTCAAGATCAACTATGGAACAAAGTATAATACATAAACATATATCCATACGGTAGAAGTTGTCCTTGCAAGGAAAATGAAGTTTTATTTAGGCCCCTCTTGATGTTAGTAGGCAGTGGGTTGCTTGCTAGGCAGTCTCTCCTCCCAGCATGAGGGGTTAGTACAATACAATATATTATGAAGCAAGACGGAAGGAAAAAAGTGCTTCTTGAAGATCTGGCGTGTGTTTAAAAAATATTTTTGTAAAACGTGTCCATTTCCAAGAAACATCCCTATGCTGCAGTAACTCCACTAGAGAAGCAGCAACAACAGAAAAAAATGGCCACAGCAGGTTCCAGTGTAGAATTTCCCTCTCTAATTCCATTCGGACTTTACCCCTGTAGGCAGAGATGAAAACAACTCTGGAAGACGTACTGAAATTTTTCATGGGAAAAGCATTTTATGGTATCAGCAGTTTTATTTTAAAAAACTACACAGCATTATTGCCTTTTCAAATGCAAACTGCATTAAAAGCACATACCTGAAAATGAGACCCATTTCTCTCATTTGCCCATAATGTTAATAGGTAATTTTAAAACTATGAGAAGAAAATACTCAATAATAAAAGATACTATCCTATATACAATGCTATTTTCAGTATTTCGCACATTTTTTAGTTTATAAATATGCTAGTTCTTAACAAATGTAACATGTTAGAAGTTGACTGGTATTCATGATTGTTGCTAATTGAATGGGGGGATATAATCAGCACAAGGGGAGGATCAGTTGACAAGCTTGTGAGAATATAGGCTTTTTTTTTGGTAGTACTGAAGATTGAACCCAGGGCTTCATGCATGCCAGGCAAGTGCATTACCACTGAGCTACATTTCCAGCCTTTCAAAATTTATTGAGACAGAATTTTACTAAGTTGCCCAGGCTGGCTTTGAACTTGTGATCCTCTTGCCTAAGGCTTCCTAATAGCTGGGATGATGATATGCATTTTTGTCTCCTGATTTATATGCTATGGGTACAGCAGTAAACAGTGCCTGGCATATAATAGGTACTCAATAACTACTTGTTGAATGAATAATTTGCTAAATGAATACTGTGAGGGATACTAAAGTCCCTATTTAAGGAGACTGTAATTTAGTTCCAGAGACAAAAAACAAAACAAAACAAAACACCTGAACACATAGTACCTAAAACATAACACAGTACCTAAAACATAACGCCATTAATCTCTGATTTAGGTAGGCCCGACATATGAACCAGCATATTACAGAAACTCTCCTTCTGCTTCTGGAAAGCCCTTAATCATTTCCCTTTTCTGCTATGCTTTGATGCTCAAGTCTTTCTTTGCCTCTCACTACAATGCCTCTCTAGTGTGAGGTTCCACAGAGCTAGGAGAGGTAGGAGGGCTAGAGCAATCAGAATTTAGAGGAGAGACTGGTAGACAGGGTAGCCTTGTAGAGACAGAATTCTTGGTAAAGGATTTGACATAAATTTTCTTTAAGAATAAAAATAGTTGGTGGAATTATATCTAATTAGCTGAACATAAATTGAGGAAGATTATCTTCACTAGAAACTGTGAGAAATGTATTTGGACATGATGGATTCTTAAGATGAACAGGCTGATACTTACTGTAAGAGGGAGCCACTATAGCTTTTAAAATAAAGCAATTATCAATGTGCCATTTGAGAATTATCTGGAAAGAGCTTGTAAGATAGCTTAGGAAAAAAGGTACTGAAAATTGAAGTCAACTAGCTAAGAGACTATTATAATGAACAAGCATAATCTAGTGAGGACTTCAGCTATAAAGGGGGCTGATGGTGAGGAAGAGAAAAGTTAAAAGCATGAAATGTAGACATGGACCAGGGAGAAAAGGAGGGCTCAGAAGAGGAGAAAACCCTAAGGAGCATTCCAGAAGTACAGGCAATCTATATACTACTTCTAGTGAGAAAGGGAGAGGCAGGCAATTGATTTTGAGGGTCCATAAAGATACTTGAAAATGGAAGGGAAGTTCCACTCTACCTTGTTGGAAATCACAGGAATCAATACAACTAGCAATTAGTCAGAATGATCAAACTGCCAACGATCAAGCCTCCCCTCACTCCTTCCCCTGACTCTTCTGAAGCCTGACTGAAGGAAAGAAGGGTGAGTAATGTGAAGAAGCTTAAGCTAACCTTTGGTTTTATTCCCATTCAGCCTAGTAAACAAATTAGAGTATGGAGATAGGACACATAGAAAACTTCCTCCCCTCCTGTCTGCTGAAACACTCAGGTCACTTAAGTGACTCTAACTGGCCTAGGCCTTAACATACTTTTCAATAGTAAACACAGAGTTATTAATTTGTGTTTCAACAAGTTATCTTTAATACAGAAAACAGTTCCAAATTTTAATTCACTAAATTTGAAAACATTTTATTTAAAATACTCCAAATTGTTTAATGTAATGTCCAGTTCAAAAAAAAAATTTAGTAAAAAATTAAATAACTGATAGAAAAGTCTAATTTTATATTTCTAGTATGTTTACATACCTATTTTTATTGATCAAACTGATTTGCTTCTAGAAGAAAAAGTACTATGTTTATTGGTAGTTACCTAGAATTTAAGCCATAAGAATTAGTTACAGTAAGATTCATGGTGTAAGAAAAAAAGAATCCCCTTCATTGAAATAAGCTTTTACTCTGAAGTCAGTGCTTACCATGATCGCTAAAGAGAAGTTGCTTCCATTTCTGCCTTTCTGCCTCTGAAGCTTTAAATCCAAGCACAGATTTTAATTCTTGAAGTACCCTCTTGGATTCTTCCTGCTCACGCTTCTGTCTCTCTTTGTCTTCTTGAGACAAGTAATAAAAATCATCTTTTCTGAAATCACTGTCCATATCTATATCATCTACATAAGCTTCTAATTCCTGAAAATGAATAAAAGAAAAAGCATTGTACTCCAGACAGTTTTCTAGCAGCATTTATTTATTTGTAGCTACATATCTCTTGAGTTAAAAAATGAGGACTTGGGGGGATACAGTTCATTTGGTAAAGTGCTTGCCTCACATTCATAAGGCCCTGGGCTCTTGGCATAGGTCATTAAAGCATAGTTGAACAAAAACAGGGGGAAAAAAGAACAACATTTTAAAAAGATCTATAGATTAATTGAAGTATTCAAAAAGCTTAACGGTTGATTCTAAAAAAGGGTTTAGTAACACCCATGGTTATTTTTTCACGCCTGATAACCATACTACAGATATGGTTAAAATTATGTTTTTCTTGCTATGCAGAAACCAATCGAAACTAGGACTGACAATGTGACAGTTAATGTTGTTCTTATGAGAAATATCTATGGTTCTTTCTGACTTCCCAGGAAGTCTGAATACTCTTGCTAGAATTAGGGATCACCCCATTTTATTGTTCTCCACATCTCTAAGACCAGAGGGTAGAATATTTACTCACCCAGCTTTCCTTGCAGTTAAGATTTAGGCAAATGACATGGGATCCTCTAAAGAGATATACCTGAATTAGAAGTTTGTGACAAAAGAAGCAGGCACCTGAAGAAGGCCATTCTGGCAAGGATGTCAACAGATCATGTTCTGGGATGGAGTGGTTCTGAGGGTAGGATTTACTATTTGGCATTGAAAGGCAATGTCAGTGCCCCTGGGCTAAGCAATGAGGTCTTCAATGGAACAGTTCTTTTTGAGTGAGTTTGGCTGTTAACCCCAGCCTGGCTCAAGCCTGTTTATCTAGTCTTCTGAAATGTTCTGTAAGCTAGATAATGGTTTTAAACAAATTATCTGTCTGTTAAACTAGCTAATTTGGTTTCCATTTATAATTAAGAATATGAAAGATAATATGACTGAAGGAAGTTTTGCTTAGACTGAACAAGAGAAATCTTTGCACTAACTAATGCAACCATTAAAAATGTGTGGTATAACATCTATGAAGTTAAGTGCACAAATCTCAAGGTACAGATTTTTACACATATATGCATATTAGCAACCACCACACAAATCAAGATAAAAATGTTTCCAGGATTCCAGAAGGCAACTTTGGTCAAACACTATTATTATTGTGTTTAAGCACTTTAAAAGCCTCTATGAAATAGACATTTGGACAAGAAATCTGGTGGTTTCAAGGAATTCAAATCCAGGGGATTAAGAACTAATGCCTTTGTATAAATTCAATAATTTACATTGTGATCTTGAAATTCATTAGAAACAGAAATGCAATCAGCTATTTGACAATTATGTCACTTAAAAGAAAGGATGGTGGGATGGAGTTGTAGCTTAGTGGTGGAGCACTTGCCTCACACGTGAGAGGCCCAGGGTTCAATCCACAGTACCACATAAAAATAAATAAATAGATAATAAAGATATTGTGTCCATCTAAAACTAAAATATATTTTAAAAAAAGAACGAAAAAGAAAGGAAGGAAGGAAGGAAGGAAGGAAGAAAGAAAGAAAGAAAGAAAGGCAGGCAAACTTTGTATGTGAAACTCTTTGGAAGTAATAAAGGGTAATTTTCCTTCTTACCTGCTCCTCGGGGATTGGATCTTTGTCTGCAATGTGTAGAGTAGGCTGCATCAAAGGTACTACAGTACAATGTGGGTTTTCACAGGCTACTTCAGGCTTTCCTTTAAAAGGTGGAGGGCAGAATAAAGATGAGAATCAGGCCATACACAAATGAATGGACATATAGCAAAAATATCCCTGATACTAAAACTCTTTTGTCAATTTCAAAGTTCATCTTGTTCTAAATTTTATCACAAAAAAATCAAAGATACTAAAGTTAACAACACCAGCAGATTTACAATTGAGTTAAACTTTTGGAGAAGAGGACTGGTTTTCTCTCTTCTTTGCCTCACAACAGTATCTGATACACACTATAAATACTATTGAACCAAAAAAATCTGTTCAGAGAATAGGAACAGTCTTAAAGACAGATCACCACTTTTCCCCCTAATGCTAAGGATGGAACCTAGGGCCTCACACATGACAGGCAAGAAGCGCTCTACCACTGAGTCTCATTCCAGCTTCCAAGATACTACTATCAATAACAATAAAGAGGGACATTCAACAATGTGCTGATAATCCAGCTCTCTAACAAAACAAAAATCCAATTCATAGCACTTGCTGATTTCTAATCTCCATGGTATAAATTCACTCACCATGGCCAATTTTAAGCTATAAATGGTGTTCAACCAGCTCAAAGAATATTTAATACTCCATGGAGAACCTGCTCCAGCATGTAATCCATTTAATAAAAATCTACCAAGTACCAATCATAAGCTCAATAGTGAATTTACAGTCCTGGGAGAATATGAGGTATATGTATGCTCTATTGAATTTATCTGAAGGAATTTTTACTTTAGCATATCAGTAAAACATTTGGGGGAAAGGAGTGGGTATCTTTCAAGTTTCAACTTCATCTTTTTCTCCTCTTCGGTCTTATACAAACCTAATCATGTGTTTGCATTTCCTTATATTATACTTATTTTTTTCCTTTAAAAAAAAAACATTTAGTGAACACAATATCTTTATTTTATTTTTAAGTGATGCTGAGGCTTGAATCCAGAGCCTCACACATGGTAGGTAAGTGGGCTACCTCTGTGCCACAACCCCAGCCCATATACTTATTCTTTTTCTGTGAAAAGTTTGAGGTGTAAAAATAAAATTAACCACCATCAAGCAGCCCAACTAAAACAAGAGGACTTTGAATGGATTTCTGATATTTAAAACCATTATCTAAAATTATACCTTAAAATTTTTCTTTGAACTCTAGATTTTTAACCACATGTTCATAGTAAAAACTTCACATAGTACAGAAGGGTATAAAATAAAAAAAGTTCCCTGATCACTTTATCCCTCAATTCTACTTCCTGAGAGCAAGAATGATTGTAAAAGACCTTATATTAAAATGCTACTTTGTCCATTTGTTTAAATACAGTCTGTGGTGCTTTCATACTACTAAAGGAGCTGAATAGCTGCAACAGACACCAGATGGCCTACAAAACAAAATATTTGCTGCCTGGTCTTTCACAGAAAAAAAAACTGCAGACCCCTGTGCTGGAGCAGTTTCTCAAATTTTAATGTGCAAACACATGATCAGATCTTGTTAAAATGCATATTGATTTAAAAAAATCAGGGATTACACTATAACAATCTGAAGGCCCTAGAGGTTATGAATTTAAGAATTTTAGATAATGTGATATTTTTAATAATGGGAAACTATTGTTTTCTGGAGGTTCTTTCTATTGTAATTCTCTTTTAATGCTAGGGACTGAACCCAGGTCCTTGTACATAGTAAGGAAGTACTCTACCACTGAGCCACACCCCAATACTCTATGGCGATTCTTAAGTAATGCCAATGTAAAAATATGAAACCACATTGAGTATTAGAAGAAATCAGGAGGGAATCTGTAAAATAAATCCAAAATAAAGAATCTTTTAAAATATGATATAAAAACCCATAAGAAACAAAAAAAGTAAGAATATCTTTATGGGCTGGGGATGTGGCTCAAGCGGTAGCGCACTCGCCTGGCATGCATGCGGCCCGGGTTTGATCCTCAGCACCATATACAAATAAAGATGTTGTGTCCGCCGAAAACTAAAAAATAAATATTAAAAAATTCTCTCTTAAAAAAAAAAAAAGAGGGGCTGGGGATGTGGCTCAAGCGGTAGCGCACTCGCCTGGCATGCGTGCGGCCCGGGTTCGATCCTCAGCACCACATACAAACAAAGATGTTGTGTCTGCCGAGAACTAAAAAATAAATATTAAAAAAAATTCTCTCTCTCTCTCTCTCTCTCTCTCTCTCTTAAAAAAAAAAAAAGAATATATAAGGAAAAACCTATCATAAACAAAGACCAAAAGTTACATGATAAACCAGGAAAACTGTTGCATTTTATTTCTCAGAGGATCATTTCACTAACACATAAAAGAGCTTCCACAAATCAATAAGAAAGTGGGCAATCAAAATAATGCACAAAGTGTATGGATAGACAGCTGTCAAGATGGGAATTACAAATGGCTCCTAAACACAGGAAAAGGCTGAAAACACCATAAGCATTCATTAAGAGATTTAATGAATAGTACAATATGCTGTCAATTTGAAAGAATAAGATATATTTAATAATTTTAATATATAATAATATAATAATTTAATATACAATAATATATTAATTATAATAATTTAATACATAATATTATATAATATATAATGATGTAATAATATTTAACAAGATATTTATAATGAATTTTAAAATAGTAATATTTGTTTATATTAACATGTATAAAATCTTTAGAAGGATACAGGAGAAACTGGAAGAAGCAGTTACCTATAGGGAAGGCAATCCAGTGATTGGGGCAACTTCATAGAAACTTCATTATCACCTTTCTACTCTTTTGTGCTTTTAAAATTTTAAGGACATAAGCACCCTATTTTTTTCATGAAATAAATATTCAAAGAAAATTTTAAGAATGCTATGGTCAACTAAAGTATCAACTGGTGGGAATCAGTGCGATACAGGTACCAATGAGGAACTAACTTGTAGCTGGCAAGAGGTAGCCTGTATGAATTGTCTGGACGCTGGGGATAAAGAGCCAGCAAGGGATGGCAAGATGCTGGGACCTGAGTTGGAAAGACTCTTGGCTGGCATGGGCTGGTATAGTCAAAGCAAGATAGTCCAGAATGGGAAGAACTCTGAGAAGGTTGAGTTAGTGGCCATGTAGTTTATGAAACAGCCCACAGCGTCAAGTGATTAGTTTTATACAAAGCGACTGAGTTAAGTAAATATTTTGAAGAAGATGGTAGCCAAGTTTTTCACAATCAGGGAAGGCAGGTACAAATATGGGAAGGCAGAGGACAGAATAAATCATGTACTGTTGAAATTGAATCAGAGGTATTAGAATGACTCATGGTTTATAACAAACATGGACAAATAGATATAGAAATAGATGTGTCTATGTGTCCATATATACATATACAAATTTTGTAGCTCTATCCATACACTGAAAGGGTATAAAAGCAGTAACATTCCAGGGTCAAGATGTATACCTAGCCCCCAGATTTTGGTTTCTAAATGCCATTCTCTGTTAAAAAGGACTAGGGTTTCTTAGAGACATGGCTGATGTCAAGGGTAGTGCAAGGAAAGTACAAGAAAGTAATGGAAGTGCTCAAAGAATGACACTGATACAAATCAGCTCAAACAGGCTGCCGCTGGCCAAATCTTGGGCAAATTGAGCAACAAAGTCATAATAGTACTGAGTTATGAGTCACTGGATAAAATTAGAATCCATAAGTGTTTACTGATATAAATAAGTAAATGTGTGGGGAAAGGGGATATTTTATCTTACAGTAGCGTGCCAACTAATAAATGTAAAAGGAAAAATAGAACTAGAAAATTACCAATTGGCAACCATCACAGAAACATTGAATGCAAGCAATGACTAAAGCAAATGGATCCAAATAATATAAGCTAAATTATTTTATTCTCTTTAAAAAATTCACTTTTTGGCATATAATTCTATGAGTTTAGTAAATTACATAGTCATAGAACTACCACAACCAAAATACAGAATTGTTCTACCACCCAAATAAAAACCTATGCGGGCTCTTTATAACTTATTCCTCCCTCCATCTCTAATTCCCAGCAACCACTGATCTGGCTTCTGATCCTCTGCAATTTTAATAATACCATATAAATGAAATAATATAGCATAAAGTGATTTCAGTCTGGCTTCTTTCACTTGGCATAATGCTTAGAGATTCATTCACACTATTACATGCTTCACTCCTTTAATCCCTGAGTAGCTTTCTATTGGATGGATGAATGTAACAATTTATTCAGCAGCTGGAGGATAAATGCCCTACAGTTTTTACTAATTACGAACAAAGCCACTGTAAATATGTATGTAGTTTTGTGAAAACTAAGTTTTTGTTTTATTTATTTATTTAGCAGTGCTAGGGCTGGAACCCAGGACCTTGTATGCACTAGGCAAGCACTCTACCGCTGAGTTACACTCCCAGCCTATGAACAAAAAGCTTATTATTTTTTGTTCTTTCGAAATGGGGTCTTATTGTATTACCCAACCTGCTCTTCAACTTCTTATCTCAAGTGATCCTCCTGCCTCAGCCTCCCGAGTGGCAGAGATTACAAATACACACCACTGCACCTGGCTGAACATGAAGGTTTGATAGCCTTAGCTAAATACGTAGGAATAATATTTCTGAGTCATATGGGGTATATGTATTAATAGTGAGTAAAATTTTGATGAGAAAGGCTATATTTATACAACCTCTAAGTATTTTTCTTCTTCTTTTTTTTTTTAAAGAAATTAACCTTTATTTTTTGCTGTTGTTTTAATATGTGCCAAGGATCAAACCCAGTGCCTCACCGATGCTAAGCAAGCGCTCCACCACTGAGCTACAACCCCAGCCCCTCTAAGTATTTCTTCACAAAATATTTATCATGAAAGATTTTAAGAATAGGCTAAAGAGTAACAGAGAACACAACAACTAAATGTGCACATGATCTAGATTTAGACATATTAAAAAATACTACTGGGATAACTGGTGAGATTTGAATAGATTCTGAGGATTAGATGGCAATATAACATCAGTGTTAATTCCCTGGTCTTGATGGCATACTGAAGTTACGTATGAGAATGTCCATGTTTTTCAAAATTACAAAATCATTATCCAAAGTACATGCATGAAGACACGAATTGGTGTGGATATACTTTGTATATAACCAGTGATAGGAAACATTTGTGCTCTATATGTGTAATATGAATTGTAATGCATTCTGTTGTCATATATAAATAAAAAAATTAATTAAAAAATCTATTCTTTTTTTTATTATTTTGTTTATTTATTTTTATGTGGTACTGAGGATCGAACCCAGGTCTCAAATGTGCAAGGCGAGTGCTCTACCGCTGAGCCACAACCCTAGCCCCCACCCCCTCCTTTTTTTTTTTACAGAAGTATTTAGGGTGATGGGACTTCATGTCTGCAACTTACTCTTCTATTGTTCAGAGTAACACCACTGTCAAAAGAATTATCCAAACATACAGACTCATACAAAGAAAAAACAAATGTGGTAGAATGGCAACAACCAGGGAATCTGGATGAAAGGTATTTTGAACTACTCTTACAATTTTTCTCAAAATTTGAAGTGACTTTTAAATAAAACACAAAAAAATGTGACTGACTAAAGCACTTGTTTCTTAAAACATTCATTTTATTTAAATTTGTATAGCCATGGCCACTAGGAGGGTTAAATGGGATAATACTTTTATTTTTTGGTGCTGGGAATTGAACCCAGGGCCACCTGCATGCTAAGCACATGCTCTACCATTGAGCTACCCTACCCTCTTAGTCAAGGATGCTCTTTTAATACCACAAATATTTCTGAATATTTCTCCTTATAGAATATGTACTCAAAAGTTCTAGAATAGAAAAATTAATGTATTTGATCACTTGCAGATATTAAAATTCTTTAGTAGATTTGTCCTTTGGAGAAAAAAATTATGAACTACAATTATTATTACATTTAGATATAAAGTAATATATAAAAAAGGGCTGGGGCTGGGGCTGAGTGGCAAAGCACTTGCCTCACACATATGAGGCATTGGGTTTGATCCTCAGTACATAAAAATAAATAAACCAAATAAAGGTATTGTGTCCATGTATAAATAAAAAATATTTTAAAAAATAAAAATAAATAAACAATAAAATAAAAGGCATTCTATCTGTCTACAAAAAAAAAAAGCAGTTTGGTGGAAAAACCTCAAGACTGCTTCTCTTACCTCCCAGTACGGGGGATTAAACCCAGGGCCTCACACATGCTAGGCAAGTGCTCTAACACTGAGTTGCATTCACAGGCCTTTTTATTTTGAGACACTTCTCTGCTAAGTTTCATAAGCTTGCCTTGAACTTGCAATTCTCCTGCCTCAGATGACCCTGCCCCGTGAACCCCGTAGCTGGGAATACAGGCATGAGCCATAGCACTCAACTTCAAGACTGCCTTTTTATGCCAGGCATGGTGGAGCACATCTGTGATCACAGTGACTTGAGAGGCTAGGGCAAATTAGAGAAGTATCAAAAGTTGGAGGCCAGTCTTATCAACTCAGCAAGGCCCTAAGCAACTTAGGAAGACACTGTCTTAAAGTGAAAAATAAAAAGGGACAGGGATGTGGCTCATTGGTAAAGTGCCCCTGGATTCAGTCTCTAATATCAAAAAAAAAAAAGAAAAAAAAAGGATTGTGTTTTTACCTAGCATCACAAAGTGATCTGATATATTAACATTAAATAATGGTGTTTAATACATGTGGACCCATAAAAATGAATAAGCAGCACTATTATATATAATTTATATATTATTTCTGAATAACTGATGTAAGTATCTTAAGATAACTTAAGTATGAGGACCCTAACTATCAAACTCATTATTTTATCCTAAAGGTAACTTTTATTACCCTAACTGTAAGTGTCTCTAGAAGTTCTGATAATAGAAAATACTAACAAAATTTATCTCTTCATTTCATATTTTATAAAAGGAGACACGATTCACTGAATGTTCTAAATTCAGAATAAGAAGCTGGGCATGGAGACACACACCTGCAATCTTAGCAGCTCAGGAAGTTGAGGCAGGAGGATCATAAGTACAAAGCCAGCCTCAGCAACCTAGGTAGTCACTAAGCAACTTAGCATGACTCTATCTCTAAATAAAATATAAAAAGGGCTGGAGATGTGGCTCAGTGGTTAAGTGCCCCTGGGTTCAATTCCCAGTACCACATACACATACACAAAAAAGAGCTAAGCCTTTGAATTCAGTGTCAAGTTGTACATATAAATTCAATATATATATATTTTTTTAGTAAACTAAGAAATTTTGCGGTCAGTTTCATCATGCAGACAAGAAATCCATCTAATAAAATTCCACCAGAGAGAAATGTGCATGTTCAGTAAACACAGACCAGGAAAATCTCTCACAGGTACCTTTTTTATCTGTATTTCTCCGTAGCAGTTTGTCCACCTGAGAAATGGCTTCTTCCCAGCAATTGTTGCTTGCTTGAACATGGGGCTCAATCAACTTTAACTTCTGTTCTAGGATTTGATAAGCCTCTGACACTAGTTCTTGTGTTTCTTTAGTACAAACAAGCTTTTCAAGTTCATCTTCAAGAATTATAACCCTGGGCAATAGAGAAAAATAAGAACAGACTTCTAAAATATGAAATGAAAAATTTATAACTAATAAGGTTCACTTAAAAAATCAAGCTTATTGGGCTGGGGATGTGGCTCAAGTAGTAGCGCGCTCGCCTGGCATGCACGGGGCGCTGGGTTCGATCCTCAGCATCACATAAAAAAAATAAAATAAAGATGTTGTGTCCACCGAAAACTAAAAAATAAATATTAAAAAAATTCTCTCTCTCTTAAAAAAAATCAAGCTTATAAGATTAAAAAAAGGATTGAAGATGAATGGTGGTGATGGTTACATAGCAATGCGTATGTATTTGATGCCACTGAACTGTACATTTAAAATGGGTAAATGAGGCTGGGGTTAGAGCTCAGTGATAGAGCACCTGGCCAACCCGCATGAGGCTCTGGATTTGATTCCCCAGCACACCCTCCCGCAAAAAAGGCTTTTTTTTTTTTTTAAATCATGTATTGATTAAAAAATATTTCTTGGGACTGAGGTTGTGGCTCAGTGGCAGAGCACTTGCCTAGCAGTGTGAGGCACCAGGTTTAATCCTCAGCATCACATATAAAAAAATAAATAAATAAAGGTACATCAACAACTAAAAAGTGTTTAAAAAAATTTCTTACATGCATACTAGTCATTTTATGAGCTATAAAGATAAATTAAACCCATCTCCTACTTATTAAAAATTAATAACTGAAACAGGAAAATTATCATATATATAAAAGTACAATATATATATAAAAAGTTAAAACACTTTATTTTCACTTTACACATAAGGAATTTGGTTCAGAGAGTTAAATAAACTTGCCCAGAGTCACAAAGCTGGTACCGCTGGTTTGAATCTAGGTCCCAAAAGATAACACAACAGAGACACAGATAGTCATATGCAAATTCAGATGAGAGGAAAATTATGACCAGCTATGGGCACAAATGGGGAACAGCTAAGGAAGAGATACTTTGAGGAAACATTGAAGGATGTATAATTTTGTGCTTTTACAAAAAGTAAATGGAACATGGGAAAGGGCATTTACACAGTTTTGGCAGGACTGAAGGAAAGGAATGAGAAATAAAGATAGAAACTTGGACTGTGGCCAGATTATGGCCACCCTTCCCATAGAATGTTTTGTATAGACTTTAAGCTGCTGTACTTGGAAACCAGTGAAGATTTTCAGTTAAGTGAGAAAGCAAATACATGCCTCAGCAAACTTAACCTGGCAGTGCACACTGTGGAGGTCAATGCCCTGGTGCAGGAAAGAGGCAATATGGTCTGACAGGGAGGCATGGAGAATGGGAAGAGCCGAGGGGACAAGGGAGAGAGAGGAGTGAAACACAAAAAGAGGGTTTCAAAATATGAAACATAAAACAATTTTTTAAGATAATACTTTTAAAAGTGGTGTATAGCAGCACTACAGAACAAATCATATAATAATTTGTGAATGATACACTTTCTAGTTCAAATAGTTAGAAAGGTTAGATATAGTAGCATATACAGAAATTATATTTTAAAACAGGACACATACCTCCTGTATATCCTACAATTCCTACCCAGGGTACCAAGCCTCTTTTCTGTATTCATGTCACCCATGGTAGCATTCTTCCTTTCCTAAGCCATCTTCCTTCCCTTTAATGCATTTCAATATACCCAGTGTATTTCTGATTCTATTCCCCAAAATTAATTCTTCGGACACTCTGGCTTTGCTAATATAACCTTTTCATGGAAATCTTATTTTTCTCTGTTATTGATCCAATCTCTACCCACTCAAGTGGAGAGAGCCTTATCTCCCATGTTCCCTGCTAAGAATTGGGTTAGCAGTTACCTGCTTTCTTAGAATAGAAGATATAGACCACTAGAACACCCTACCTCATGGCTTTTTCATTTTCCTTAGGAGCTTTATATCTGACTATCCCAGCTCTCCAACTGATGGGTAAAACTTATCTTCTCAAAATGTCTTTCTGACCTTAAATTTCTATCCTCTATATACATCTTATTTTTCCTCATTCCACTTAAACTAGGGTTTTCATTTTATTGATATGTCAAGTCCTCTTGACCCATTTTCTTATCTTATAAAATTAACTGCTGTCCTTCTATTATTTCTTGCTTGGTAATCTGGGTCAAAGACATCAACTATAATCTATGAGTTCAATAAATTCCTATGACCTTCCTGAACACCAACACAACAAGAACTCAATCATCCATTTGATCCAGTCCTACAGTATGGACATTTAACTGTTAGAGAAAAGTTGCGCTGGGAATGATTATATTCAGATTACATTCTGGTTTCTGTAGTATGGCGGTTATCACTTTCGCCTCATAGATATTATATGCTTTGACTCAGATTTTAAATGTGAAAATTTCCATGCAGAAATAGATGAAATACAAAGGAAGCCTGGGACTTGTGAAAAAGCAGAATACCCTCACTTATTGGGATACTAAGATATCAGCTATGGCCCCCTTCTCCCTCCTGGGAGAAGTCTACATTACCCCTTTTTAAATAAACCCTGTTTTATATGCGAAAGAAAGAAAGAAAGAAATAGAGAAAATAGGGTTTTATTTATTTATTTATTTTGCAGGACTGAGGGTTGAACCCAGCCTCAACCACTCTAGGCAAGTGCTCTACCACTGATCAATATCCTCAGACCTTTATTTATTTTATTTTGAGGCAGGGTCTCACTAAGTTTTCAGGTAGGCCTTGAACTTGGGATCTGCCTGCCCTGAGATTCCAGAGTTGCTAGAATTACAGAAATGTGTCATGACACCTGGCTGAAAAAAGTATTTTTTTAAAATATATTATTTATTTTTTTAGTTGTAGTTGGATACCATATCTGTATTTTACTTACTTATTTATTTTATACCTTTATTTCATTTATTTATTTTTATGTGGTGCTGAGGATCAAATCCAGGGTCTTGCACGTGCGAGGCCAGCGCTCTACTGCTGAGCCACAATCCCAGCCCTGAAAATAGTATTTTTAATTGATAAAGGTATACCAAAGTAGGACAAAAAAAGTTTAAAATTATGGTAGAACACCCAATATTATGCAAAACAGAAGATCAACAAAACTGTGGGCCCTACCTCTTCCTGTTCAACTGAAGTCAAAAAGTTAGTTCTGTGCCACAGAAAACTTTACAAATCTGCTATAATTTCTTTAGAAAAATAGCAACATATAACTCTCCAACTGTGTAATAATGGCTCTTGTACTATTGCAATACTGGCAGGTATTCTCTCAGACTGCAGATTCCGGTTTTAAAACCCTACCTTAAGGGAGTTAAAAGCAGCTCATTTTTTCATAATCTTCTCCATTTCAGCTTTCAAAGACAATGAACACTGGCTTTGTCCTATCTTTCTATGTTTTCTGTTAAAATCAGGAAAAGTAAAAACTATAAGTGACTCTCCAAAGTTAGTAATTACAAATCTTTGTTTCTCTGCTACATTTATAGCTATAAACCATCCTTCATGCTGCATGTCTCAATTTTGTTTCTTCTTTTTAACTAGGACACAAGCCAACAACTACAATGGCACAAGAATGAAGCTTGCTAATCACAGGGACATTTCCTTAAATGTCCTCTAAACTTACTCATTCAGTAATGCTTTCAGATGGAGTTGCAAGCTGCGCACTGCTGTGTGAACATTATTTAGTTCTTTTGACTTCTGCTGAGTTTTACACTGGGGTACTGACTGGTGCTGGGTTTCAAAGTACCGGTAGAACTCATAGCTGCGTTTAAGCTCTTCTAAACAGGCAGAATGAGCATGAGGTAGACCTTGAATCACATCAGACAGAATACGATGAGGCAAGAGTGCTGGAGAAAGTAAGGGCCCTGGAGGTGAATTGGCTGAAGAAAGCAACAGGGCTAACCGTCTGAAGAACTCTGAACTCTGTGCCACCCAGAGTTGAAACAACACCTAAAGGAAAAAAAAAGAAAAAAAAGAACTGACCAATAAAAAACACTGGTAAACATTTAAAATAAACTACAAATCTTCTTATCTGCTTATCTTAACTTTTGGTTTAAAATTTTTACTTTATCCGAAATAATGAATATAGTAAGTTGAAACCAACTCTTTTTTTTTTATGTGCAATTATCTTTATTTCAATTCCTAAGTATATTAGTTTGACCTCAGACATGTTAGGCATGTCACAAACAGTAGATAACTGAAACCAACATGAATTTTGCTCAAGACATCTAGTTATGTTCTTCTGCAATCCACTTATTAAATAAAAAACATGACTGGTTTTGTTTGGAACTTGGAAAAAGCCAAGTAATATTTTACAGTCATTATGACAAAGTTTAACTTCACAGGCCCTGTAAAAAGATTTTCTTTTTGGGAGCTGGAGATTGAATCCAGGGCCTTAAAGTCCTTATTTTCTCATATCTTCCCATATCCATAACTTTCCTGAATTCTTTAATATTCACAAGTACCTGATGAACTGGGTAGCCTATTACATCAGCAGTCAATGTTTAAATATGGGGTGACAGAAAAACTTGTATTCCTAATTAATTCTTAGATGATTTTCAAACTCTTAATATTGGAAAAGCACAATTTTCTATTTAAATGATTATTATAAAAAGGAGACAAATGAGCCAATTCATGCAATGATATTCAGACCCTGTTCTAAAAAATAAATCATATTACCAATTCTTACTGCTGAGTAAAGAAACTGAGTATCAGGTCATCAGCTAAAGTTGAATGTTACTCCTCTTCTCCAAGCAAGAGGTATTTAGAATCATGAATGAATTCAAAGCCAACAAGCATAGAGTGAAAGCTTTACTCTGAAAGCTGATCTAACTCTTATGATTAGCCAAGAATATTATATATTATTATATATATACCAAATTATGTAGTCATCACACATGGTAACTTATGATCTCAGTATAGTAAGTAACACATATGTGATTTAGTACAGTTCCACCATAGATGAGAGGTGCTGATGAAACACAATATATTTATTAAAAGTGAGTCTTTCTTCATGAATTATTTAACAATTTTTTACACAGAGAAAATACTAGAATTATTACATGTCTTCTTATTTAACTGTTAAAACTATTTGTAGCTTGGTGCAGTGGTACACACCTGTAATCCCAGCAGCTCGGGAGGCTGAGACAGGAGGATTGCGAGTTCAAAGCCAGCCTCAGCAATGGCGAGGTGCTAAGCAACTCAGTGAGACCCTGACTCTAAATAAAAGTACAAAATGGGGCTGGGGATGTGGTTCAGTGGTTGAGTGCCCCTGAATTCAATCCCTGGTACCAAACAAAAAATAAAAAACAAACTGCATTTGTTCATTCAGAAAATACTTATTGAGCACTACAGTGGGTAAGGCAATGTTTGGGGTACTGACAATACAGCTTCATATGAACAAAAATGAAAAAGAAAATCCCCACCTTGATGAAACTTCATTCAAGTATGGGGTGGAAACAGATAATAATCAACAAGTAAAATATAGTATTTCTTGGTTAATGGAGATATGGAGTAAAATACTGTAGAGAAGGGGAATAGCCAGTGTGTACATGTGTATACATAGATGAGAGAGGAAAGGAAAGGGAAGAAAAGAGAGGAAGGGAGTTGGCCAGGAAGGTATCTATTAGCATCACTTGAAAGAACCAATCCATGACACTATCATGAGGGAAGAGAATTCTAGGGAGCAGGAGGTTCAAGTGCAAATCAGGATGCTCCCTTGGCAGGAGCATCTAAAAGAATAAAGTTGACATAGCAAACTGCTGCTTTTAAAAAGGCTAATTTTTACCTAATTACTGTCATATTATATATTTAATCCAAAAACTCAGAAGCATGTATGTTTTTATCTGTTTATTCTTTGGATAAGGAAGGTGTTCTGAGTAAGAGGATACCCATAATTTATGGGCAACAAGAAAACTTTGATTTAAATCATTTCACAATATGTAGATTCATTTTTAAAATCAGAAAACACAGTACTTTATAGTTTAAAAAAACTAGTTAAGGGCTGGCTGTGGTTGTGGCTCAGTGGTAGAGTGCTTGCTTGGCATGTGTAAGGCAATGGATTCGATCCTCAGCACCATATAAAAATAAACAAAAGTAAAACAAAACTATTGTGTACAACTACAACTAATTTTTTTTTTTTTAATTTAAAAAATCAAGGGGCTGGGGATGGGGCTCAAGTGGTAGCGCACTCGCCTAGTATGTGTGAGGCACTGGGTTCAATTCTCAGCACCACATAAAAAATAAAATAAAGATATTATGTCCACCTAAAACTAAAAAAAATAAATTAAAAAAAAATAAAACAACAGCAAAAAACTAGTTAAAAGAGCTGAATATAGTGGCACCTGACTATAGTATCAAGTACTGGGACAGCTCCTGTACTAGGTATTTTATAGGTTTCTTTCAGAAGGTTGTTTTCCAAACACAGGTGCAACATTCCCTATTGCTAAGCGTTCCTGAGGGAATATATATAAACAATAAAAAGATTAGTTCAAAATGTATTTTCTTTAGAGGGCACAATGAAGATTACAAAGGAAAACTGATTCATTTGTAAACCATCTTTCATTAGGTCTTTTTATAAAACTTCAGTGTTACTCTTTTGAGAAAGAAGTTTCTTTTAAAATTTAATTTATAAAAATCCATTTTAAAATTCCTTATCTAAGTACAGTGGAAACTATAAAAGGTGGAAATACCTATGTTTTGAATATAACAGGAACTTGTAGTAGTTTACAGATATCAAGATAAGGTTTATTCTGGAGCCTGATAGTCCTAACAACTACACAATTATTGAGTTTGATTACAGATGAGCTATTTGTCAAAATAAGGCAAATATAAAAATGCTGTTATAGCCTGATGTGAAAAACAATATGGACAAGAAAAAGGATCCAGTCATAATTGGCATCATTGTAGGGGTAAGATGGGGAGATAAGGCCAGAGAACAGTCTCACATTTTAGAGCAGGTCATATCACCTTCAAGGTAAAAATTCAGCTAACATTAATTGCTTACTCTATGCAAGGTATAACTGGCAAATATTTTATCCTTTGGAGGTAGGCACTGTAATTATTTCATCTTCATAAATGCAGAACCAATGATTTGCTCAAGGCTCCATAAAGAGGCAAGAGAGAACTAGAGAGAAACCTATAAAAGACTAACTCCATGGGACCCACCTTTTCTCTTTGCTGCCTATATTTTAGGTTTGAACATAGTTAGAATTTAGCAAGCTTTTATTTATTTAAATTAGTCAATTTATTTTTTTGGTACTGGGGATTGAACCCAGGAACGCTTTACCACTGAGCTATATTCTCTATATCACTTCTTTTTATTTATTTATTTTTTAAATATTGAAACAGAGTCTCATTAAGTTGCCAAAGCTGGCCTTGAACTTTGCCATCCTTCCACCTCAGCCTATTAAGTTGATGGGTTAACAGGCATGTGCCATGCCCCACCACCCCAACCCATGCTGAGTCCTTCTTAAAGAATACTACTTATTACTATTTTTGAATACCCATTATACGACAAGCCTGCTATAGGTATATTGTTTGTCTTCTCATTTAATCTAACACTCGACAAGGCAGATGTGGCAACTTCCTTTTACAGATAAGTTCAAAGAATAGTTTATTCAAGGTCAAATGATCAGTTAGAATCAGAGCTAATATATAAACTCAGCTCTGCTCAATTTTTTTTTGCAGGGGGTGAGGAGGGTAGTAGGGATTGAACCCAGAGGTACTTAACATCTTTTTACATTTTTAAAATTTTTAGACAGAATTTTGCCAAGATGCTTAGGGCCTTGCTACATTGCTGAGGCTGGCTTTGAACTTGTGATCCTCAGCCTCCTGAGCTGCTGGGATCAAAGGAGTACACCATGGCACCTGGTTTTAATTTTCTTCTTTAAGAATTTCTCAGATTGTCCTTTGTAAAAACTTTATTTCCTTTGTAGAGTAAAGCATGGTCATGATATTGAATTTGGAAGTGAATGAAATTACCTGAAGTTCTACCACCCCAACAAGTATTATTAATATTTTGATATTTTCTCCTGGTCTTTCTTAATATTTTTTTAATATTTTTTTTTTAGGTGTAGATGGACACAACACAATGCCTTTATTTATTTTTTATGTGGTGCTGAGGATCGAACCCAGGTCCCGCCCATGCTACACGAGCGCTCTACCGCTGAGCCACAATCCCAGCCCTCCTGGTCTTTCTTAAAAAACAGAATTCTGGCCACACTGCTTATATATGTATGTATCCTGATTATTTCACTGGAAACAGATGTTTCTCTAAGACTTTACAAAATCTTCATAAGCAAGTCATAGCTATTACTCAGTCTTTCAATATGTAAATCTAGTCCTTTATTGCTAAGCACTTAGGCAATGCTCCATTTTTCGCTATTATATACATAAAGCTTCACTGTATTTAGAATAATTTCCTTAAGAAAATTTTGCAGGGCTGATGATGTGGCTTAACTAGCATGTATAAGGCCCTGGATTCAACACCTAGTAGCACCAAAAAATAAAAATAAGATTTGCATAAGTATAATTATTTTTTTTTAAAGAGAGAGAGAGAGAATTTTTTAGTTATTGGCAGACACAACATCTTTGTTTGTATGTGGTACTGAGGATCGAAACCAGGCCGCACGCATGCCAGGCGAGCATGCTTCCACTTGAGTCACATCCACAGCCCCGAATAAGTATAATTATTGATCTAAAGGATAAAGATAAAGGCTCTCTTTTAAAAAAATTTTTTATTGTATTTGTATTTCTGCTTTGTGAACTGCCAGTTCATTAACCTGACCTGTCTTCTATAAGCTTTGTTTTTGTGTTTATCTGTTTTTGCAGTGCTGGGGATCAAACCCAGGGCTTTATGCATACCAGGCAAGCAACCTACCACTGACCTACACCCTCAGCCCTTTAAGTTTTAGTACTTTAGTACTCTTTATATGGGAAAAATACAAGCCCTTTGTTATAAATCATTGTAATTTTTTGAGCTTCTTGTAATTAAAATATGCAATATTTGGTCAAATTATGTTATGTGCAGGTACAGACATTTAAAAATGAATCCCACTATTAAGTATAATTAAAATGCATCAATTAATAATAAAAAAAAGAAATAAAATTAATTAGTATTTTAGGTTTGAAGTTTAATTTTTATGCAATCAATCATATCCTTTCATGTGGATTTTACTATATGAAAAATCTTTTCCTTAATATATGAAATATAAAAAAAATCTGAGGGACTTTTTTTCAAGGGAAGATATAGTTGTTGCTTTTTTTCAGTTGTAGATGGATAGCATGCCTTTATTTTATTTGTTTATTTTTATGTGATGCCAAGGCTCGAACCCAGTGCCTCACACATGCTAGACAAGTGCTTTGTCACTGAGCTACAGCCCCATCCCAAGATATAAATCTTAAATGCTTTGTCCATGTTTGTTTAAACAAATGGCTGACCATAAAAATCACTCATACTGGCTTCCTATTAAAGTAATTCACTTATTTCCAGGCTCTAATTTAAGGTATTTCTTATATAAAGAATTTTAAGAATTTTGATACGAAACATAAATTTGATCTGTATGATTCTCTCAGTTTTTAAAAACAGTGTCACAAACATCATTAACATATTTATGATGATGATATTCAGCGAACAAGGAAGGTGAACAAATACACCCATTTATGTTCAGAAAGCACAGGTTTAATCCAAGTGTGTCTGTCTTTTCTTCGGTATTTTTCTTATGCAAATGGATTACCTTTAATGCAGGTAGGCTGAAGCCATCTGTAAGGTTATGTGCTTCCTCTTCTGAAATCTGCTCTTCACTAAGACCAAGGCCCAGCTCCTTAAAAGGCACCACACAGATGTAGTTGGTAACATTGTCACTCTCAGAGTTCAGGGGGTAGGTTAAATCAGGTTAAGGCAATCAACAAAGCCTTTTCATTAAACCATAAAAGAAACAGTCAAATTGTTCAAAATTACGTTTACTAGTCTATATTGTGAACTTTAAAAAATATATATATATTTTAAATTGTTGATGGACCTTTACTTTATGTATTAATTTATTTATATGTGGTGCTGAGAATCGAACCCAGTGCCTCACACATGCCAGGCAAGTGCTCTACCACTGAGCCACAACCCTAGCCCCGATGTACTGTGAACTTTTGCTGGAGATTTATATCAATTTTTTAGCACTGATTAATCTCAAGACCTACATATTAACAACATTCAGATGTAGGATACTTGTGAATAAAAATTTTAATGTCTAGGGTTGGAGTTGTGGCTCAGTGGTACAGTGCTCGCCTAGCATGTGTGAGGCACTGGATTCAATCCTCAGCACCACGTTAAAATAAATAAAATAAAGGAAAAAATAAAAGTTTGACTCTTCAAAGGTGCTAAAATGCTAATTTAGTACTTTTTAACATCTGCCTTTTGAAATTGTATTGTAGCTCAGGTCCCCACTATGCTACAGTAAATACTTCTCTTTGTTTCAGTCCATACACAAGACATGATTACTTAAACACTGCATAGACTACTAATGTAAATGGCATTAAACCTTTTCTGGGTTGTCTGACATAGACCGCTGCTGTTTCCTTTGTTTTCTTCCTTATGGACATATATCTATATCAATCAAAAAGTTAGTTTTCCTCTTTGTTGTTGTTTATATACTTACTTATTTATTTTGGTACTGAGGATTGAACCCAGAAGCACTTTACCACTGAGCTACATTCCTAGCACCCCCCAGCCCCTTTTAATTATTTTTTTACACTAAGTTGCTGAGGTTAGCCGTGAACTCATGATCCTTTTGCCTTAATGGCCTGAGACACTGGGATTATAGGTATGCACCACTGTGCCTGGCCATCCATTGTTTTTGAAAGAATTATATCCATAGAATTCTTGATATTGAACCATCCTTGCATTTCTAGCATTTGCCTATTCGGTCATATTGTGATAATATTTTGATTTGATGCTAGGTTATATTTATAAATGCTTTGTTAAATATTTTGTATATCTATTTGTGAGATTAGTGTATAGTTTTTATTCTTTGCGATATATAATGTTTAGATACTGAGATTAAAGTATTTTAATAAATAAATTGATGTGGGGAGCTTTCTAACATTTCCTATGGCTGGATTTTTTTTTAAACTAATAAAATCATCTTGACTTGCTAGTGAAAATTTTTCTTATTCGATTAATTTTTTAATAAGATTCAAAATTCACGAGGTCCAGTGAAAACTATTTTTTTTTGTTGTTGTTTTTTAGAGAGAGAGAGAGAGAATTTTTAATATTTATTTTTTAGTTTTCGGCGGACACAACATCTTTGTTTGTATGTGGTGCTGAGGATCGAACCCGGGCCGCACGCATGCCAGGCAAGTGCGATACCGCTTGAGCCACATCCCCAGCCCATGAAAACTATTTTCTATCCCATCACTTCGTCACCTAGTTTTGCTATCAAAAGTAAAGGCAATCCTTATTGCCGTACCTTATGTATCCTTCCAAGTATTATATACATACATACATTTAAATATTTCTGTATCTGGAAATATTTAATAATTATAGGACATATACACCTGGACACACAAACACATATTTATTTATCCCTACATATTTACATAGTCCTCTTTATGCATGAATACTATAAATATTGCTTTGAGCACTTTGTTGTTTTTTTTCACTAAATAAAACTTGGAGATCATCTCACACTAAAGTATTAACGGCCAGATCACTATTGTTTTAATAATTGCAAATTTCCCGTTGTTTACATATAACCAGGTAGTCTCTTTAATTATTCATGATTTAATATAGCCACGAAAATTTTCCTAAAACAAAGATCATATACACTTTTATTTTCTGGCAAACAGAAGTAGTTCCCTAATTTAGTAAATTTAAGTGACAGACTTACTATCATGTAGTCTTTGAGTGCTTCCTATATGCTAGGGACTGTCTGATCACTTTACATGCATTAACTCATTTGACCTGAACAAAGACACAATGAAGAAAATCATGTTATTATTGCCATTTTAAAGATGAGGAGAGTAAAGTACAGGAGATTAAGAAACTGGTCACCTGGGCAGAAACCAAAACAGTGAGAATTTGAATTTAGGCAATCTGATTCTAGTGTCTGCTTTTTGAAAGGGGAAGGATTTCCTGTTGCCAGTTTATTACCATGTTCAGCCATTTTTAAAAATGTCAGACCTAGCAAATCCAGGCTCTTTTGACTTTATTCTGTGGATCTCTGAAGGGAGGGTCTTGATATTTTTTTTTCCCTGTTAAAAATGAGCCACACCAGAGCAGAAGAGCTTTCTTCCTGTTACTGTCATTTCCCTGGAATGCATTTCCAGTTTTAAAATAGAAATGATGATGAAAATTAGCTTCAAAATCACAGTCCAAACCTACTGTTAACTTTTACAGGATGCACCTATAATGGACTTTGAAATAATGTTTATTCTCAAATACAGACAGAAAAGGATATTTTTTCAGCATATATAGGGTAGCTAGCCTTGCTGCTTGAAAGTTGGCTCTTACAGTTCTGTAAACAGCTTTCCGAAGACCGATGAGATGCTGACTGGGATGCTGTCCAGCTTTATTAAATGAGCAAGCAGCACTGACCCTGTCAAGCAAACTTGAAAAGTAAAATGTGATACAACTGTACAGATGTCCTAAAGTTTTTGTTTCCTAAATCCACAATTCTATTAACGTTAGAAAGAATTCCTTTCTCATAATTTTTATTAGAAAATGACTATAAGTATCCCAATTCAGGTGTCATAAATAACCATTTCCCTGACCCATACATGGCCATCAGAAAAAAACACAAGTGAAAAATCAAAATCTCAAAGAGTAAAGGTTTCCTATGATATGGGGAAACCATAAGTTGTGATAGAAAAGAAATATAAGAATATTTATGTAAGAATTTGCATATTTTTTCCATAAAGATACTCTACCTTCTAAAATACACTAAAGTGGAACTACTTTACAGTTTTTAGAACCCATATCCACAAGATATATGAAGGATTTTAATTATCAACAGATTTACATTCTTAATATACATTTACATATATTCAATTAATCATATATTTGGTTACTTGTACAGAACAATCAAATACTGTATAGAAATAACATTCTGTACATTCATAAAAGTAGGGTAAAATTACTTACCCACCTGCTGCCACTGGCACTTACCTACTCAAAATGAAGTAGGGGGCGCAGAAAGATAACAGGACCAGTGGCCAACAGGGGAATGCAAGTAGAAAGGTAAAGTAAGGGTTACTACGTGGTAGGAGAGCTACTCTCAAAATCGTTCAAAAGGAGCACATTTTATGTCACTTTCCTTAAGATTAATGGAAAGTATCTATTTGCAATGATTTATGTGTTGTTTTATGACTGTTAAGTATGCAGGATTAAATATTACAGTTATTAGATAATAACAAATATCAATATTTGTAAATTTTCTATAACATAACCATAAACTTATTTTTAAAACCCTAACTCAGAACTTTAAAAATGTTAAAACAAATTAAAATATATGGACAATGACTGATACTCTCATTCTTTTTAAAAAAAAAAGATGGACAGCATGCCTTTATTTATTTTTATGTGGTGCTGAGGATCGAACCCAGTGCTTCACATGTGCTAGGCAAGTGCTCTGCCACTGAGCTACAGCCCCAGCTCCAACAGGCTTATTCTCAAGGCAAAGAAGGGTTAAATTATTTTCTAGAGAGGACAAATTGAGACAGAAACAAAATAGCACGCGTAATTTCAACATATGGAACTATTGTTTGTGTTCCAATTTACTAAACCAGTTTTACAAAGTAAAAATATTTGTAAAAAATTATGATTCACGATTTATTATTTCTCATTTTTTCAGTGTATTGTCTAGTTAGATGGAGATAAATGAAACACAATTTCTTCCAATATTTTTTTCTGCCTATCTGCCATCTGAACAGTAGAAAAGCATCATCTAAAGGTAAATTGTGTCTAACTGGCCCACATTACCTTTTCATGCCAATTCCATATATATAGGTAAAAACCTGAAAGTGACAAAGGCACAGAATCCTCTACACATGCCTAAACATTAGATAGGCACACAGCCATTCAGCTTAATCAGTCAGGCCTTTCAATAAAATGCTGTGTAAGTCAAGAATGAAAAGGAGATATTACTTATTTTAAGTGTGATTTTTAATTTTTAAAATTTGACAAACAACATAAAATCGTTATCTTCTACCAGTAAGAAGCAGACCTAACCTAGTGGAAGGAAAATATCCATAGATACTGAGCACTTTTATTTTGAGTTGAGCAGAGGAATAATATGAACACTCAGAACTGTTGTGTAGAACACAACAGAGTAAAGAACATTATAACTACTGCAGCTTCTTCCTCTTCTTTGTTCCATAATGTTCCAGATACAGCTTTTCTGTCAAGATTGTTTAAGTACTATTCTAGAGCAGAGTGAAGAATTCAAGACACCAGAGGTTTTTCACTTCTGATTTTCACAATTTCCCAGATACAACTAAAAGTAATGGTTATTCTTTATTATATACTTCCTCCCACATATAGACTGAAATTGTTAAATAAGTAATATAAATTACTAAATATACTATAGTCCAGCCACCATTTGTGAGCATTCAGTAGGCAACAACTTACTGGAAATAAGTTAGAAGTCAGATGGAATGGATTTGGATATGTGCTCTATCACTTACCATACAACTTGCCTTTAGTTGTATGTAAAAGTGATTAGCATAGTATATGGAACATAGTTGGTGCTCATTTAACTTTTTTTTAATGAAAAAAATAAGTAGCAAGTATGGCAGTAGCTTAAACACTTATGCTGAACTGGTGAATATTTCGTTGTCAATGAGAATACGAAACATCACTATTTGCATGATATTCTGAAAGTATCTGTGCTATAATACCACCAATGTTTACCTAAAGAATATTACTAACACAGATTAAGACTTCAAAATTAATCCATGTCAGATACATCTATCACTTAAACTGGAGAAAGATGATATTTAAAAGAGAATAAAGGGAACAGACATGTATGGGGTACCGATTGCATGCTAGGTTCAGTGTCAGGCAGTCTTTTTATATTATCTCATACAAATAAATACATGGTAATAGATAAAATAATCATGATCCTCGAAGTACTATGGTTTCTCAAAGGAGGTAAGTAGAATCATACTACATGTTAAATCTAGCATATAATGTCTTTAACCCTTCATTTTACAGTTAATAGACTTTAAGTAGGGCTGACAGGTAACATGCTCTTTTCCAGTAAATTCAAGAGATAAATGAAAATAGATAATAAATAGTTTCCTTAAACTATGTAGTGAAAAACAATAATTTTTAAAATGAAACGAAAAATGAACTCACAGTGTAAATCCTCTGGAAATGACTTCAGTTTCTTGAATGAGACGTAAAGCTTTTCTCACTAGATTAGTAAATGCTCGGCTATTTGCTGCCATATCTTCCAGACGGACACTGTATTTTTTTAGGGTCATATGTAGTTTGGCTGTCCTCCATAATCTCAATGCTCGTATGATTAAATAAAGAAATAGAACCACTCCCCATACCATCCAAGAAGATACAATCCACCAAGTAGGAAGCATAATCAGCAAACTAATGAAGGCAAATAGCATTGAGACATCCCTAGGAACAGAGAAACCAAGAGAAGGATATCCATTAGACAAGAAAAAGAAAGATAAGTCAACTGGTAAAAACAACAGTAAATTTAGGTGTACTAAAATTGATAAATTCTTTGTGAAACAAGACTTTGAAAATATGACATTTAATAAGATAATATGAAATAGTTGTAATTTTTTTGTGTGTGTGGTTCTAGGGATTGAACCCAGGGGTGCTCTACCACCAAGCTACATGCTTAGTTCTTTTTATTTTGAGGCAGGGTCTCCCTAAATTGTCCAGGCTGGCCTTGAACTTGCGATCCCTCTGCCTCAGGCTCCTAAATAGCTGGGATTACAGGTTTGTGGCACCTTACCCAGAAAATTCTTCTACTTTTGAAGGAAAAGATGCTTACTTCCTCATGATGATATTTGGTTGACTGCAGATTTGAAAAGTATCATACTTCACTATCTGAAGCATCTGTCAGTGTGACAGGAAAGACATTTAGAAGACTGAGGCCAAAGAATGTAACTGCCTAATATAACTGGAACAGTGATTTAGTGCATTCCTTGATTCATTCCTCCCTTCTCTGTCAAATTTAATAAATGCTAATAGGAGGACATCAGCAACTTTTTATATATAATCTCATTTCACCATTCTTCTTCTTATTTTAAAAAATATGACTTTTGCATTAGATGCAGGCACTTCAAGTGATTGAAAAATTTCAGGATAATGCTTATCTGTTTGTTTTTGAGACAAGGTCTTGCTACATTATCTAGGCTGGCCCCTAACTTGTGAATTCCAGTGACCCCCCTGCCTTAGCCTCCTCAGTAAGTTTTAGAATAGTTTAAATAATTAAATTATGTTCCTTATGATCTCTTCTCAACCACAATAGCAATAGTTGACTGTTATGTCTTATTCTATCCTTAGTGTCTCTATAATGTGGTTATTATACTATATTTTATAAAGAACTATAAAGAATTGACTAGGTTTGTAAGCACACATGTACGTAGATGTCTGGGTAAGAGAGGTTTCTTTTGCTACATTTATACTTTTTTTTTTTTTGTACTGAGGATTGAACTTGGGGACGCTTAACCACTGAGCAACATCTCCAGCCCTTTTTTGTATTTTATTTAGAGACAGGGTATCAATGAGTTGGTTAGGCTCTAAGTTGCTGAGGCTTCCTTTGAACTCACAATCCTCCTATCTCAGCCTCCTGAGCCGCTAGGATTACAGGCATGCACCACCACACCTGGCTTATATTTATTCTTCTTTGTTGAGCTGCTAAGCACAAAACTAATTTTACGGAGTTGGAAGTATATGATAATCAAATCATATGTTTTTCCGGCTTTACTTTAAATAGCAGTTACTTCAGAGAAACATTTTTTAACCTCTAGCATATCATTACATTCATTGTAATGCTAAATGTATAGGATGTTTATAATGCCTTTACAATGGAAAGCATGATGACATTTCCTCTGTGATACTCTATATGTAAGCAGTCAAAGATAGATGTTTTCTGGACAGTACCAAATATTAGGGGTTGCCAGGGAGCAGAGTGTTGGAAGGTGTCCATTTTCCTGTTGTTGAGGTTGCCCTGCAGACAGGATACTGGGATCAAGTAGCTCAATTAGTTCTACATCCTCTTGTAACAGGACTTCCTGTTGCAGTATGGTATGCAGTAAGTTGAGTCGGAATCCAGTATCCTTGCCATTAAAATGCCAGAAGAAAAGAATTAATACATACGTGCCATTGTATTAAGTGCTAAGCTTCTAATGTATTATAAACTTTGGGAGGTGTTCATTTTCAGTACAGACCCCCAAAAGAAACATCAGTCCAATCTATCTTAAGTATGATAGATGGGGTTTTATTTTCACTATATATGTGAAACAATAAAAATTGAGATCAACATTAAGATATTAGATATGAAATATAAATTTTAAATAATGAGATATAAAGTAATTACAGATTAATAACACTGTCTACTCAAGCCTACTTAAATTGTTGGGAGGCAATATGGTGAATACAATATAAAAGATGCTGACCCTGAATACTGTAATGATAAAGCCATATCTAAGAATTACATCAACAGGATCAAGGCCTTCTAAAAATGGACATTCAATTATTTAAAAGTACATCATTAGGTATGTAATGTAAAACAACATTAACATTTCCATAGCACTTTATAGTTTACAAAATGCCTTCACATATACCAGTTCATTTATTCCTTACTCTCTTCCTTCTATCCATATGTCAAGGAATATCTTCTTTAAGCAAGGTATCATGCTTGACACCGAAGACACAAAAAATGGACAAGACATACAAATCTTATCTTTTATTTTTATTTTTTTGCAGTATTAGGGGACTGAACCTAGATCCTTGTGATACTAGGCAAGCACTCTACCAATGAGCTCACACTTGGCCTACCAGTCTCTACTCTTACTAAGGAGTTCCTAATAGTTTAATGGACAGAACCAAAAATTAAACAGTTAAGATATAATGTGTAAAGAAGTGTGATGAGGTATAACTAGGAAACTAAGAAAATGACCAGAAGAACCAAATTTAAAGTCAGCCAAAGTTAAAGAAGTAAAACCTGACATAGTCTTAAAGGATAAATAAGAATTATCAGATCAAAGAGTTGGAAGAGTGGGACAGTCAGGATAGAAGCTCTTCTAATTTGGGAGAGCAGAATTTATATATGTGCAGAATGCACATTGCACATGGTAGAGAGGTAACAGAAGAGGTAGCAGTGTTAGGGCAGTCAGGTTAATTTTCACAGTAACCCTGTGATGTACATAATCATCCTCTTCTCCATTTTATAGAGAAGAAAACAAAAGTCAAAAGAGATGAAGTTACTTTCCAGAATTCTGATTTCAAATTCTGATAGATTTTTTAAGTTTAATTTTAAGTGATACATAAGAACACAAAAATTGTACATATTAATGGAGTACCATGTAATGTTTCAATACTCAGATACATGGTGTAATGTTTAAATCTGGTTAAACATATCTTTCTCCCCACTTATCATTTCTTCATGGTGAAAACTTACAAAGTCCTTTCTTATAGTTTTTTGAAATGTACAGTACATTATGGATATCTGTAGTAACCTTATTGTGCAATAGCACATGAGAAATTATTACTCCTATCTAAATATAACTTAGTAACCACTGACCAACCTTTCCCCATCCCCTGTATCTTCCGTAGTCTTTGGTAGTTAATTCTGCTTTTCTGCAGTTAGCCTCACCAGAAAATTTTATGTTTTGTTTTGTATTAAATTTAGTAACAGAGTGATTTTGTTATATTATCAAAATAAAAATAATTTTTAAATGAACAAGGCCTTTTATAATAAAAATAAAACCAATTAGGTCTTAGGTTTGAGGGCAGTCCTTTGCTTTTCCTTTGTTTAAACATCATTCCCTAGCATCACACTCAACTGCAAAACTAGAATACTCTGCCTTCTCAAATCAATATGCTTAGAGGCAATATTAATAGCTTTGGGAATATCTGATTAAAGAATATATAACACACCAACAACCTAAAATAATAGTGAACTTGAAAGGAACTAAGACACTTCAAATAACTAAAGCAGTGTTATTTTAGGGATTTGATTGCTTCTACAGAGGAAAAACTTGAGCTATATTCTGATAACAATGGCTATTTAAGTGGAATAAGATTAAATTAATAAGTTTCTTCAGGATAAATTATAAAATTATATATTACTATTTATAAAAATAATTAACTATAGAAAATATACTGTACTACAGCAATCAAACTATTAGGAAAATAGTCATATGCCATATTAAGAAACATCTCACAACAGCCTTATTTAAACTGAGAAGTCCAGGTTCAAATCAAACAAAGGAAGAAATTTAAAAGGTACAAATTCCGAATGACTTACATATCAGAAGGTGGGAGCCCTGTGCTGTTGGAAGGTGCACTATATAAAATGGCTCATTCTCAACAAGTTTGAGTATCAAAACTTGGAACCTAGGCTTATATCTTGGGCTCACAACTTAAGCAAGTTAATAGCTTCTCTGTGCTAGTTTTCTCATCTGTAAAATGGGGGATAATAAAAGTACTACTTTATAGGGCTGTGCAGAATAAGTTGATATCTATAAAATAATAAGAACAGTTTCTGGCACACAGGAAGTTCTAAGTGTTAGCTGTTAGTGTTGTTAGTACATATGAAATAATTCAAAGACAAGAAAAGCATGCATTGAACATAATACAATGCAAAAACTTATAGAACATAAATATAGATAATTGTTACTAGGTTGATGAATAAATAAGAGATCCAATGGAATGAAGTTTGTGGGGGGAAAAAAAAACTTGAGAAAAAGCTAGGATTGCTTACTGAACAGATTCCAAGAGATCAAGAGAAAAATGGAAAAGAGTTCCACCACAGTATAAGAGCACATACACAGGCATACAGAATACAAAATTAAAGAAAAGGAAGGTGGATAAAGTTGGAAAGGTTGGTTAATACTAAATGATGCAGACTCTTTAGTGCTGAAGTGAGCAATTTGGATTGATTTGATGGATAATGGAAATCTCAGGATCTACACAGGAAAGTGGCATGAGAAAGTAACTTAGGACGATTTCTGCTTGGATGAAATGAAAAGGATATGAGAAGACACATTAAAGAATAAAGAGATTTCTAATTTTTTCTTCTGCATCAATGATCTTACACAGTTTTCTATATCATAATGCTATTTCATAAAGCTGATAGGATCAAATGAGATACATGTGTGAAAGCATTTCATAGGTCAAAAAATGCTTAAAAAGTACTACTAACACTACCATCATAATTGCTATAAAAGAATCTCTTTTTGTTTCAATCTTTAGGCACTATAAACATAAACAGTAAAATATTCAACTATCAGAAAAATTGCCAGTATTTTTATTTAAAAAAAGAGGGTCTGCTTCAACGTCTGTATAATTAATAACATATTAAATATATCACAACCAAGGGGGTAAAGTCAAACAATCACATGACAGAAGACAGTGGTCAATTCCTTTAGTCAACTCCTTCTTTGGTTATGTATTCCCATAATTCTCCATAATACAGGCACAAAAGGGATGCATACAGAGGCTGCCTGCCACTTTATAGAGAAACATGACATGAAACATGTGGCCACTGACAATGAACCAAAGAACAAAAGACCAGGCCAATGCAAATAATGAATAAACTACAGAAAAACAAATGTGGATCCATATACCTTACCACAGTCCTAGTATCACTGAAGAATGAGATGGCTCCACCTGGGTAAAGATGATATTCTACGTAGATGATAAGACACTTCCTTGACCTTCTCAATACACCTTCTACAAAGATGAAACCCTGAACAGAGAACTTGATAATCTGGATTGCTAAAAACATAATTTTAGTCAAAAAATAATAATACTCAAGCTAGAAAGGTAGTAGTTTTGAGTGGAAAGAGCAAAAGTTTTGAAACCAAGAGACTTGGGTTCAGATTCTGGCTCTATCATGTTCTGTAGCTAAATATTCTTGGGCAATTCACTTAATCGTATTAAACCAAACTAGGTGGTCTGAATCTAGGCTTTTCACTGGCAAAGTATATTCAACCTTATAGTGTGTTTGGAGTAGCGAATCAAAATGTGAAAGCACTTTGTAAACAATCTCTTTACAGATGTTAATTTACAAGAATGACAATTCTTAGAGTCACAGGCCTGTAGAGGATCCTGAAACCTGCTCATTCATAACTTGGTTACTCCTTTTGGGAGCCATGAGAACTTTATAACTTGAATGTTTTAGCTATACTTCCTGGATTTTATATTGTTAGACTGTAAGAAGGTCATGAGTCAAGCAATAGATATATTAATTACAGCCTAGTCTAGTGAAAAAAAAATTTAAAATAGAAAGAAAACCTCACAGGAATCACAAAGACCCTCAGTGTTGACTGACCATTTCAAATGTCTGTGAAATTCTGTGATTCACCAGTCCCCCAAGACTAAACTGATCACACTAATAGATGAATTCTCTTCCCTCCTGAGAGGAACACTTGTCAATGAAGCAAGATGGTAGCACTAATTTATAAGTCTAAAAAACAAGGTTCCAATAACTACCAGAATATTCCATTCTAAGTTGTTACTAACCTCTTAAAAGAGCTATGAACAATAAGCTATGAATTAAAAGGTCCCCAGTTGTTGCAGAATTCCTAATTAAAAAAAAGAAAAATCACTGCCAAAATCAGTAGCAAAATACATTCGGATTTATCATTTGTCTAATAAACTGAAGCCCTGTAAGATGACAAAAAGAAGTAAAGTGAATACTCACCAATTTGTGAAGTAAGTCATCTTTCTTATTGCACTGAGGAAAAAAAATCCAACTTTTGATGGTTTCAGCCACTTTTAACAGGATGCCTTGCTGAAGGAGATGAATGACATTATATAGGATCATTAATTAAATACAACCAAAAAGTAAAAAAACCTCTAAATACCTTACCTCTAGTTAATTAGAATTTTTATCAGAAAAATTGTCCAGGTTATACATTTTGTCAATGTTGCAGTCTCCTCATTAATTCCAAAATTTGGTTGTACAATAGAATCACCTAGAGCTTTTAATTAGAAATATTTTTCTGAGCCTCCAAACTAAGAAAAGTTTGATTCAATAGGTTTGGAATGAGGCCTAGAAATCTGTTTCTTCAAAAGCAGCCAAAAGACATTCTAATGTAATCCATTTGTCTTGGGAACACTATATACTATCTATGTCAATGTGACGATGGTATTTATTTCAGAATGAAATCCTAGGGCATGCCAAGTTCTCAAATATTAAGATTATTTCATTTCATAATATTAAGGCAGAAAGATGTTTTAATCATTTTAGAAAAACTGTCACATACTGAAATAAAAGATTTATTATTGAATCAACCCAAAATACAATTTACCTTAATAGCCCATTTCTGAGCATGCCAGAAAAAGGAGGTTATATTCATTACATGATGGAATTTATATTAAGTGATAACAATACCCAGGTACTGCAAAGGGTCATAGGAATTAAAAATAAATACACATAACTGCTGTTTTCAGGAACTTGGTATAGAAGAGACAATAGAAATAATTATATACCAATGCAAAGTCTAGAATAAAGTATGGGAGGAGAGGAGGTCAAAAGAGCAGCTAATACTGGAGCTAAGCCCTATCAGAGGAGCAGGAATTCAACAAAGGTAGGAGGACATTCCAGGGAAGGGAAGAGGATGAGCAAAGGAGAGAGGCTAAGGAAGCACAGACCATGGGAATGGTAGCATAGCCCAGGACAGTTATCATTATGGGAAGAAGGGATTATTCAGGAAGTTAAAAGGTATATGGATTCCATAAAAACTTACTATTTTTATGTGTCAATTAAAGAAAAAAAAAAAAAGGTAAGGCAGAGGGTATAGTTAAATGGTAGAGTGTATGCTTAGAATAAGGGAGGCCCTGGGTCTAATCCCTAGCATGGGGGTGGGTGGGGGAGTATAATGAAAGGCATGGTATGATCTTAGATAACATCATAGTTTAGACATTATCTGATAGGTTATGAGGGGCCCCCAAAGGTTTTTAATGCAAGAAAACAAAACAATAAATCAGCATTTTACAAAAATAATTGGCAATGGTGTAAAGGCTGTAATGGCAAGTAATGTCTGCAGAATGACTAGGAGGATTATTTAATAAGTCATATAAATAATGATAAAGGCTTCAGCAAGGTATTGAATGTAAACATAGTAATACATAGAGTTAGATTTAAGATACATAGAAGCTGACCTGATATATCACTTAGTTACCAAAGCAACACAGAAGTGATAGGAAATGGTGAGATAACTGAGAGAGGGTAGTAATTTGGGAATATAGAAAGAATATGTTTTTTGTTTGTTTTGGGGGTGACTGAGAAAAGAAGTCCTGTTTGGGGCATACTGAATCTGTGCTTACTGGAACACATGCAGGTGAAAATGTCTAGTAAGCATCTGGAACTCAGAAAAGCCTGGAGAATGTATATAACCAATCAATGAAGGCAAGAGAGTAGATAAGATTACCCAGAGAAGAAAGACCAAGGAGAGAAGAGGCCTGATGCTAAAATCTTATGAAAGAGCTGGGAATGGTGGGTGTACGCCTATAATTGGGAAGCAGAGGTAGGAGGATTGGAAGTTGGAGAGATTGCAAGTTGGAGGCCAGTCTGGGCAACTTAGTGAGGACCTGTCTTAAAATAAAAAGTAAAAAGGGCTGGGAATGTAGCTTAGTGGTAGAATACCCCTGGGATCAATCCCCAGGACTGTAAAGAAACAAAACCAACCAAACAAAAAAACCTTATGAAAGGAACATTTAAGAACCACCACAGAGCTGGGGTTGTAGCTCAGTGGTAGAGTGCTTGCCTAGCATGTGAGGCACTGGGTTTGATTCTCAGCACCACATATAAATAAATAAAGTCCATTGACAACTAAAAAAAATATTAAAAAAAAAAGAACAACCACAGGAAAGAAAATGAGAAAAAAAAAAGGGTTGAATATTCATGATATAAATACTAGAAGAGACTATACAATAAATACTTATCATTAACATGAAAAAAGAGAAGGCAATTAATAATGCTAATGACTGCTTCATCAAGAACATATATTATACAAAAACACTGTTTGCAAAGAAAAATAATTGATAGTTCACTCCCTGAACAGAAATTTGGGCACAATTCTAAAAATACATTCCCTGAGAATGAACTGAATAATTCAATAAATGCTTCTAAATTTTAGCTGTCCCAGATTCAGGGGGAAAATTCATTTGGGGAAGATATAGCTCATACAGTAAAAAAAAGTTGCTTAGAGATGTACAATAGGAAGACTAAATGAAATTTCTAGACATGGTAAGTTTTAAAAATGTCCTCTGGCTGCGTTTTTTTTTTTTTTTTTTTTTCACCTCAATTACTGAGAGAATTCAATTATAAGCTCTTTATCTGATTTATTTATAAACATTTCTATAAATAAAAATCCTTATCATAAATGACAAGCATTAATATCTACAAAACCTGAGTTTATGCCAAAAACCACTTCCAAAACTAGAAGCCAATTCCCATCCCTGCCCAAAGATTATCCCTTAGCTATTCTTTGTCTGCTGATGCTAAGTAATCTCAAATACAAGTGCTAATCTAAAAATAGCCTATCACACCTAACTTTAGGTTTTGTTTTTCAAACCCTTTCCCAAGAAAGAAAAGGGCAAGAAGGAGAATTAATTAATGTGAGAATTAATTCCCCTAACTCCCATTTCTAGGTATTAGATAAAAACATTTCTTTAGCGTTTAGTTTGTTATTGCAAAGGGGCCAGCTTGGTTACCTGGCATTTTATGTTTTACTAACAGGATCAGGAAAATATTCCTGTCAATTTATTCTCTATCTCCTTATCACAAAGGAGTAAATGACTAATTGGAAACTTGAATATCTCTTCATAATAGTAACTGAGTCTTGTAATAAAACATGGATTAAACTAGAAGGATTAAGGAATGAGGTAATCTGGCTAATTTTTTTCTAAATCCTTTGAATAAAACTGAAATGTACTAAATATTTTCATATTTCAGTACATATAGCTAATAAAATATAAGGAATTTTGTAGATGCATCTTCCAAGACATAATTAATGGAGATTCTTCTAGTATCTCAGCTTCACAATGTTGTATATCACTTACATGAGCAATTTACTGTATAGATGAAAAATAACCCTCTAAATATAAAGGCATCAGAAATTGAGGTAAACATACCCATTTTTTTTCATATACCCTTGAAACTGTGTTTCAAAAACTTCAATTTGCTTTCTTATAGTTTGTATTCTTTTAAAAAAAGATTTAGAGGGGATAATTCCATTAAGTAGAGGATTCCTATTAGTTCGGTTCTAACTAAAGTTTTAGTATATTTTCTGAATCCTTTTGGATAACTTAAATATTAAAGAAATAATATATTTTAATTCAACCATGTTCATTTTCTCAGTTTATTTAAGTTATCCACAAAACAGTCCAAAGCAGCAGTAAGGATTCCCATTTACCTAAACAATTTTGTACCACTGATAAAATGAAAAATTAGCACCTCACCAATGTGAGGAAGGACATGGAGGGGCTTAGGAGATGGTTTTGTTTTTTATTATAGGAGGCAAAAGTATTTAGTAAGATAATAAAAAAAAACATAAAAATATGAGCATGCTTGGCTGACATGCTGCTCAGTGACAACAGTCCTTGCCTAGTGGGTAGAAGGCCCTGGGTTATTTAAGTTCCTAGCAACCCCCCTCCCCCCCCACACAAATGAATATGTTCTCAACAGATGTGGTGGTGCATATCTATAATCTCAGGAACTCAGGAGGCTGAGGCAGGAGGATTCCAAGTTTGAGGCCAGCCACAGCAACTTAGCAAGGCTCTGTCTCAAAATTAAAAAATTAAAAGGGCTGGGATATGGCTCAGTGGTTAAGCACCCCTGCATTCAGTATCCATACCAAAAAAAGAAAGAATGAATATCAGTGTGCTCTCTTACTTTCGGTAGGACTTTCATAGGAGGCTTTTGTTGTCCCTCTGTGGTAGCACATTTTTCGGTTTTTGGTGACAAAGAAGAACATATTTCAAAATCTGTGTGTCCCAAATCCTGTAAGTACTGGTAAAGTGGAGAATTCTGAAAGAGACATATAAAATAAAGCAAATTTCAAGATCCTTATTTTTTTCAAAAGTTTAAGACGCCAAATTCAACATCAAACTTCACTGTCATGACTAGTATGTCCAAAGTCTTTAAGACTTCTGTGAGAATTGAATGCTGCAATCAATGCGATTTAATACCAATAAATCAACAAGCATTTAACAGAGAGACCCAAAAAAGGAAAAACTCTAAATAAAACACACAGAATATTTTGGGCAAGTACCAGCAAGCAAAACTGAATTTAGGAATATAAATAGATTGGTTAAGCAGTATCTTTGTCCCAAATTTTTGTATTCTTAAAGTAGACTGCTTCAAAATAGCCAATGCTGGTTAAAATTCCTAAGAGGACCTACAGTGAAACATGGTAATTACTTTAAGCCAAAAAATGTTAAGCAATGATTGTATTGTATTAATTTACAATTTTATCATAACATCATCTTCATTACTTTGTTTAGCACAAGTATGTATTATCTGTCATATGCTTGGCACTACAAATAAAACTCTTTGAAAGAATTACTGTAGGTAAACTATAAATCACATATGAGTAATGGCAAACCAGAGAGTAATACATGCATTTGAACACAGTAATTAAAAACCCAAACTCTGGAGGCAAACTATAGGTTCAAATCCCAATTTTGCCTCTTACTAGCTAAGTAACCTATGGTAATTTACAATCCTCTGTGCTTCAGTTATGCCATCTAAGGGACAGCAATCTGAGATTCACTTGCACCATAGCAGACTACAGATGCCTCAAGAGATGAGGCAAAGAGGTTTTTAAGGGCAAAAAGGAAAATTCCATTTAAGGTATTTTGAAACAGAGACCCCTGGTTTACAAGTGGCTTATTGCAGGAGGTAGCACTGTTCATTGGTGGTACAGGCTCTTGCTAGCAGAGGGTCTTTACAGAAGTGGCTTAACTGGAAAATTCTGGTTTAGTATATTTCCATTCCTTTTTGGCAGTTCCTGTTTCGGGCTCACATGAGTGAAGGTTCTCCCTTCTTTGCCTCTGGACTCTGTTTTATTAGGGTTGAAATAAGTGAATCTATTTTGGTGCTGACAACTTTCACACAGCTAACAAATCTCAAGTATTTACTTGCATCATCTCAGTTGTAGTTCACAACAAAGTTGAAAGGATTTTATTATTGTCATCATTATAATTATTATTGCTATTCCCATTTAGTACATGTAGAAACAGATTCTGGATGAAAGCAGAAGAGTTGGGATTGACTACTAAATCTGTCTCCAAAGCCAATGCTCTGAAATATTATACTAAGCTCAAAGAAGAAATAATTCTTCATTTGTCTAGTAAGGAAGATACTAAAGAAGCTTATAGTTTAGTACAGAGAAACCAAGCAAATTAACAATAACAGGAACATAATGGATGCTATGAAAACAAAGGAGCCACAGCTAAATTAGACTTTTAGGGACTATATTGTTGAATTCAGAATAAGAGAGTAGAAATCTGCTGGGCCCCAATTTGAAAGAACAGAAATTTGAGCCAATTGCCTTTCTTTTAATCTATGTCTAATCTCTTTTAAGAAATGTATTTTTAAAACTATGAGGAAGATGTGTTTCTTATACCTCTACTAGATTTAAAAATCTCTGGTGGCATAAACAGTTAATCTTTGTATCACCTCAATGTATACTTGAATATTGCCTTGAATTATTCAATGTGTGTTTTCTTTTTTTTTTATTTTTTTATTGGTTGTTCAAAACATTACAAAGCTCATGATATATCATCTTTCATACATTTGACTCAATTGGGTTATGAACTCCCATTTTTACCCCAAATACAAATTGCAGAATCACATCGGTTACACACTCACATTTTTACATAATGGCATATTAGTGACTGTTGTATTCTGCTACCTTTCCTTTCCCCTACTATCCCCCCTCCCCTCCCTCAATGTGTGTTTTCAAGTTGAACTGTGAACCCCAACCTGCTCTGCCCTTCAGGGTGGCAAAAGAACAAGAACACTACCCCATTTGTCTGGATTGACCTTTTGAAAAGTTTACATACTTTAAAAACAAAACAAAACACTTGTTTTTAAGGCAGTAGAACTCTTTCTTCACTTGAATTCCCATGGGGAAGAACAATAAATAACATTGATCAAAGCAGAGTTTCTTTAAGTCAGGGGCAGCAAACCTTTGCTATAAAAGGCCAGACAGTGAATCTGTTAGACTTTGCAGACCACATGGTTTCTGTCCCAACAATCAACCCTGCTGCTGAAGTGTGAAAACAGAGACAATACATAAACCCATGTACAGTTATATCCCAATAAAACTTTATTTCAACACAATGAAATCTGAAATTTATATAATTTTCATGTTTTACAGAATATAAGTATTTTGATATTTTCTCCAACAATTTAAATAAAGAAAAGGTGGCCAGGGAGGATGGGCCTATGGCTATAATCCCAGATAATCAGGAGACTGAGGCAGGATGATTGAAAGTTTGAGGCCAGCCTAGGCAAGTTAGTCTCAAATTAAAATTTAAAAAAATGGGGATATAGTGCAGTGGTAAAGCACTTGCCTAGCATGCCAGGAGCCTGGGTTGGATTTTCAGTACTGAAAAATAAACAAACAAAAAAAGTAAAATCATTGTTCACCAGCCATTTAAAAATTGGGGTGGGAGAATCTGGCCCCAAAACTTTATTTACTGATTCCTATTCTATAAAGATTCAATGGAAATCAGGAGGCATACTCTTTATCTATTTTTTTAAAATGTGGTGCTGAGGGTCGAACCCAGTGCCTCATGTGTGCTGAGCAAGTGCTCTACCACTGAGCTATAACCCCAGACACAGGAGGCACACTCTTAAATGTTTTTTGAGAAGAGGCTTGGAGGGTGGGGGGTGGAAGCAAATTTCTTTTTATTCAGATTATAATGCTCCTTTTACTGCACATATAGCAGATGCTCCCTTAGCACTAACCCCTCCTTTTCTAGTTACGTCATTGCTCAAAAAAGAACAAAATAGGATATCTGTAGCACAGATTTAAAAAAATAAATAAATAAAAAAGAAACAATGAACACTTTGTTTTCTAGATATGTTCTTCATATATGTTAAACATATACTTTCCTGTTTGCTTTACCATAATCTAGAACACTTGCCTAACTCACAAAACAAAAGCATTAATAGATCATCTTCTAACCATAAATAATGTCCAACAGAGTCCTGTGATACAGCCTTTCTCCCTGTTTTAGTCAGCTTTTTCACTGCTGTGACTAAAGGACCTGACCAGAACAACGGTAGGGGAGGAAGTTCATTTGAGGGCTCACAGTTTCAGAGGTCTTAGTCCATAGAAGGCCAGCTCCATTATTTGGGGCTCAAAGTGAGGCAGAACATCAAGGCAGAAGAGTATGGCAGAGGGCAGCAGCTCACATGATGATCAGGAAGCAAAGAGAGAGACTCCACTCTCTAGATACAAAATACATATCCCATAGCCACGCCTCCAATGCCCCACTCCTCCAGTCACACCCCACCATCCTTTAGTTACCACTCAATTAATCCCATTGGGTGATTAATTCATGGATTGAGTTAAGGTTCTTGTAATACAATCATCTCTTCTGAATCCTCTTGCATTGTCTCACACGTGAGCTTTTGGGGGACACTTCATAACAAAACCATAACACTCCCAGTAGCTTATTCTGCTTTTTCTCCAAACTTAAAAATGAACCTGGTTTGGGGACATAGCTCAGTTGATAGAGTGCTTGCCTCACATGCACAAGGCCCTGGGTTCAATCCTCAGCATCACCAAAATAATAAAATGTAATTTCTAGACATCTACTGTTATATTTCATATTTACAATTTCGTTTGTTTTTGTGGTACTGGGGATTAAATACAGGGGCTCTCTATCACTGAGCTACATCCCTAGTACTTTTTGAGACACAGTCTCTCTAAGTTGCTGATGCTGGCCTCGAACTTGTGTTCCTCCTGCCTCAGCCTCCTGAGCTGGGATTATAGGTGACTGCCACCCCTCCTGGCCATATTTGCAATTTTCTATTTTGGCTGTTAGTGCAAATCAGATCTCTTCCTAACATAAACCCAGAAACTGTATGAATGCAAAAGCTCCATTTTCTATGTTTATGACAACATTCTCAACTGTGACATTTATTTTACTGCTTTTTTTCTTCTTTTATGCTTCAATCACTTTTGAGCCAAAAGAAAAATTTAAATCTAAGCAATGACACACAAATAAAAACCAATCATTCTTTGGTTAACTAACTGGATGTCAGCCAAGACGAACTGACCAAGATGGATCTTGCAGCACATGAGCAATTTTTTAAGAATACAGAGGAAATTTCTGGTGAAATTAATACTTTAAAAATATTTGTGGATAAAATTATCACTTTTTTTTCTCAAACTGCAAAATAACTTGGAGATTATTTGATGGATCTTGGGAAACCACATCCTGACCAATGATTCTCAAAATTTTTGAGACACCTTATGGTCTAAAAATTCAGGGCTCAAGTCATTACAATGTCAATGTAAACAACATATTTTTAAAATTTATTTTTAAATTTTTAATTTATTAGTTCTAATCAGTTATACATGACAGCAGAATGTTCTTTGAGTCATTGTATACAAATGGAGCACAATTTTTCATTTCTCTGGTTGTACACGAATTAGGATCCCACCATTCATGCAATCATTCATGTACCTAGGGTAATGATGTCCGTCTCATTCTACCATCTTTCCTACCCTCGTGCTCCCTCCGTGGTAAAACATCCCTCAGTTCAATCCCCACCACCAAAACAGAGACTGAGAGAGAAACTATTAAAATACTTCTTCCTTTTCAACTAATTTCTGTTTAAATTGGTTTTCTTTATGTACTTCACTCAGTAAATTACAAAACATAAAACCATAAGTTGCATCACACTGAATGCATGAACAGTGTGTTAGCTTTCTGTTGCTGTGACAAAATACCTAAGACAATCAACTTATAAGGAGGAAAAGTTTATTTTGAAATGGCTCATGGTGG